TCAAATTCCAAGTATAATATAATATACCATTTAAAAGAGAAATTTATTATTGTTCATAAATTATAAAAATTTTCCTGGCACAATAATATCTACAGGGTGAATTATGCGGTATAAGAGGGGTGGGGTAACAGACCCAGAGACGGTATTTATACAGGATGCTGTTATTTGCGACATCGAAAATCTATATGAGAAATCAAATTCCAAGTATAATACCATATACCATTTAAGAGAGAAATTTATTATCGTTCATAAAATATAAACATTTTTCTGGCACATTGATATCTTCTTTCCAAATCGTAAGGTATAAGAGAGGTGGGGGTAGCCGACATTGAGGCTATATTAATATAGGATGCTGTCATTTGCATCAGCGAAATTCTGTACGAAAAATCAAATTCCAAGTATATTGTCACATACCATTTAATAGAGGAATGCATTATCTTTCAGAAAATATAATCATTTTACTGGCACATTAATATCTACAGGGTGAATTGTAAGGTATAAGAGGGGTGGGGTAGCATACCTTGAGACGGTATTTAGGTCATTTGCGGCAACGAAATACTATATGAAAAATCAAATTCCATGTATAATATCATATACCATTTAAAAGAATACTTTATTATCTTTCAACAAATATAATCAATTTCCTGGCACATTAATATCTACAGGGTGAATTGTAAGGTATAAAAGGGGTGGGGTAAAAGACCCCGAGACGGTATTTATACGGGATGCTGTCATTTGCGACAGCGAAATGCTATGTGAAAAATCAAATTCCAAGTATAATATCATATACCATTTAAAAGTAAAAATTATTATCGTTCATAAAATATAAACATTTTCCTGGCACAATAATATCTACAGGCTGAATTATGCGATATAAGAGGGGTGGGGTAACAGACCCAGAGACAGTATTTATACAGGATGCTGTTATTTGCGACAGCGAAAAGCTATATGAAAAATCAAATTCCAAGTATAATATAATATACCATTTAAAAGAGAAATTTATTATCTTTCATAAAATATAAACATTTTTCTGGCACATTGATATCTTCTTTCCAAATCGTAAGGTATAAGAGGGGTGGGGGTAGCCGACATTGAGGCTATATTAATATAGGATGCTGTCATTTGCATCAGCGAAATTCTGTACGAAAAATCAAATTCCAAGTATATTGTCACATGCCATTTAATAGCGGAATGTATTATCTTTCAGAAAATGTAATCATTTTCTTGGCACATTAATATCTACAGGGTGAATTGTAAGATATAAGAGGGGTGGGGTAGCAAACCTTGAGACGGTATTTATACGGGATGCTGTCATTTGCGGCAACGAAATGCTATATGAAAAATCAAATTCCAAGTATAATATCATATACCATTTAAAAGAATACTTTATTATCTTTCAACAAATATAATCAACTTCCTGGCACATTAATATCTACAGGGTGAATTGTAAGGTATAAAAGGGGTGGGGTAGCATACCTTGAGACGGTATTTATACGGGATACTGTCATTTGCGACAACGAAATGCTATATGACAAATCAAATTCCAAGTATAATATCATATACTATTTAAAAGAGAAATTTATTATCGTTCATAAAATATAAACATTTTCCTGGCACAATAATATCTACAGGCTGAATTATGCGATATAAGAGGGGTGGGGTAGCATACCTTGAAACGGTATTTATACAGGATACTGTCATTTGCGACAGCGAGAAGCTATATGAAAAATCAAATTCCAAGTATAATGCCATATACCATTTAAGAGAGAAATTTAATATCTTTCATAAAATATAAACATTTTTCTGGCACATTGATATCTTCTTTCCAAATCGTAAGGTATAAGAGGGGTGGGGGTAGCCGACATTGAGGCTATATTAATATAAGATGCTGTCATTTGCATCAGCGACATTCTGTACGAAAAATCAAATTCCAAGTATATTGTCACATACCATTTAATAGAGGAATGCATTACCTTTCAGAAAATATAATTATTTTCCTGGCACATTAATATCTACAGGGTGAATTGTAAGGTATAAGAGGGGTGGGGTAGCATACCTTGAGACGGTATTTATACGGGATGCTGTCATTTGCGGCAACGAAATGCTATATGAAAAATCAAATTCCAAGTATATTGTCACATACCATTTAATAGAGGAATGTATTATCTTTCAGAAAATATAATCATTTTCCTGGCACATTAATATCTACAGGGTGAATTGTAAGGTATAAGAGGGGTGGGGTAGCATACCTTGAGACGGTATTTATACGGGATGCTGTCATTTGCAACAGCGAAATGCTAGATGAAAAATCAAATTCCAAGTATAATATCATATACCATTTAAAAGAGAAATTTATTATCGTTTATAAAATGTAATCATTTTTCTGGCACATTAATATCTACAGGGTGAATTGTAACGTATAAGAGGGGTGGGGTAGCAGACTTCGAGGCCATATTGATATAGGATGCTGTCTTGTCGCAGTGGAATGCAATATGAAAAATCAAATTCCAAGTATATTATCACATACCATTTGAAAGAACAATTTATTATCTTTCATAAAATATAAACATTATCCTGGTACACTACTAACTTCAGGGTGAATTGTAAGGTTCAAACTACTATTAATATTGTATTTCGTTTCGTTTCTTTTTGTTATATTCTGTGTTTTCTACTATAAATCAGTATCGACGGCGACCACTGGACAAAATTGATCACGTGATTAGAGCAGATCAATCCATTGTGCAAAGAGGTGAATATTTTGAACTATGTTTATTCTTGTCTGCTAGATTTTGATTACTTCTAGCAGCCATTTGTCTGATGTCTGCCAGTTATAGTTGAATCCTAGCGTATTCAATACCAGGCTAATTCATTACCGGTAAAATCGGCGTATTCAAGACCAGTATATTACAGGGTTGGTTGATCGGTATATAAAGGTGCTAAGTAGTACTCATCAGTGTGGATAGAAGCCGATTCGATAATTATTATAGATGATTTTGATGATTGGTGTTTGATGTATTAAAATTGTTTTTTTTTTATTATTGAGTTGTTGTTTAAATTATTTAATCTTAAGCTTGAGATTGTACATCCCGGCTTTGTTATTTTGATTGGTCGGTGTATAAAGGTGCTAATTAGTACTCATCAGTGTGGATAGAAGCCTATATGATACTTATTAATTAATGATTGGTGTTTGATGTATTAAAATTGTTTGTTTTATTATTGAGTTGTTGTTCAAATTATTTAATCTTAAGCTTGAGATTGTAAATCCCGGCTTTGTTATTTTGTATTTTAAACATCAAACCAATTCCGATGCAAGCTTGGAATTTGTATATCCCGGCTTTGTTATTTTGTATTTTAAACATCAAACCAATTCCGATGCAAGCTTGGAATTTGTATATATTTCGAATAAAATATGAAACTTTCACCATTTGATATCGGTATCTCAGATACATATCAAGTTAAGTATAGCCTAATTATAATGGATCCTTGTATCGCTTGCCGTTCGACCGTGCGTCCAAGACAAGAAGGTCTTCAGTGTGAAGAGTGTAATCTATGGCAGCATAGAAAATGTACAGGTCTTCAGTGTGAAGAGTGTAATCTATGGCAGCATAGAAAATGTACATGAAGATGAGGGAGTTATTAGTGTCCTTGAGTACGTGGAGAACCAATGGATATCGAACCGAGTGTTTAGTGCGAAGAGTTGGTCCGTTTTTATGCGCTCCGTTCGCACGAATAATGACGTCGAGGGGTGGCATAACCGAATCAACTCTCGACTGAACACTCGGGGACCAGTTCCATTTTATTTATTGCTTGCAGAACTACACAAAGAAGCTAAGAGACTCAAAATGGATATGGTGATGCTCACCGAAGGAAAAATCAGCAGATGCCAACGAAGCAGAGTTGGACTTATGCAGACACGCATATTCTCTCTATGGACCAACTACAATGCAGGTGAAATGGATACTAGTAGGCTATTGAGAGAGTGTGCGTTTCTGTACGGTCCCTCTGCGGAAACATCGTCGTAAGTGTATTGTAGTGTTGTTTGTGTTGTAAGTGTATTGTAGTGTTGTTTGTGTTGTATCAACCATAAAAGAAAAGAAAAAAAAAATTAATAGTGTATCACATTTATGAACACAATACCCCGTTCAAGTATAAAACTAAAAGAAAAAAAAAATTATGAACACAATACCCTGTTCACAGTTATTTACGAACTATTATTAATCGCATCAGCTGAAAACATTGATTTTTGATGTGATAAATAAAGAAATATTAATAGTAACATCAACACAATACTCAGTTCAAAGTTGAATACGAAACTATGGCTATTATTAATCGCATCAACTGAATACGATGTTTTATATGTAAATATTGTCTTCGAATGTTAAATATTTCAACTCTTGTTTGTATTATGATTATTTAAAATATATAATATTAATAGTAGCGTCAAGTTAAACACAATACTCAGTTCAAAGTTGAATACGAAACTATGGCTATTATTAATCGCATACGATGTTTTATATGTAAATATTGTCTTCGAATATTAAATATTTCAACTCTTGTTTGTATTATGACTATTTAAAATATATAATAAATACCTTGTTAATCCTTCTATTGTCTTGTCTTAATTGATCAATTAACACCCATAGACAGAGTACTACTTAGCACCTTTATATACCGATCAACCAACCCTATAATATACTGGTCTTGAATACGCCGATTTTACCGGTAATGAATTAGCCTGGTATTGAATACGCCTGATACCTTATAGTTTGGGATCAATGGTGTTAATGGTGATTTATATGTAAGGTTCTTAAAATTCTTCGTTGACCCGTTTTGGAGTATTTCTAAATATTCGTTCTGTAGTGTAAGTTGTAACCATGTAACGGTCACATTATTGAGAACAGCCAAAAAAGAAAAGTGATCAGTCAAAGAAACAATACAATTTCTCATGACAACACTGATCATCATAGAAAAGGGGGTAACACATGACAGATTCTACTTACGGAGTTTCCATGCTCGCTTCTGTTGAGCCATTTTACATTACCCGAGATCAATATCAATCTAAAATTATTTATTTACACTTGTATCTAATTTATTAGTTGTCTGGACGGACAAATTATTAAGGCACAATAATTATCTGTTTAACTTTCATGACTCGTCCGACATGATGGAAATTGGAATGGAATTGATTCATTCACATTGCAACAAGTAATCCTATTCGTCCATCAGTAAGCTTCCGGTCTGTTATAGCCAACCGCAATTCGTGTCTTTACGATATCAGTAATCAGTACATGCGCATTTATTACTTCCTATGTAAACAAATGGTGTGTTTGTGTTTGTTTATTGCTGTTGACATTGGGTTAATGCGTAATATTGCGTTTTAGGGTTATAAAATTAAATACCTAAAAGAAAATGAGCACCATGATGACGTACATGAGGGTATTACAGAAAGTAAACACACTCCCTTCAAGATTTCTTCACTATGTACAAGGTCAATCACCAGAGCCAAAGATACGAGAATACTTTTATTTTATTGATCATCAAGGGCAGGTAAAAATATAATATGATGGTTAATTCAATAAAATGATGATTTCCTCTTCATTAATTTTGGCCGGTTGTCGTTCTTGGGACAGCAGATATATGTGTCTTCATGTTTTTAAAGATGCATTTCCGGCATCGTAATTATTTTCAATAACATTCCCTGAAAAATTTAACACTCATGGGACTCACACCACACACAACAAAAATGTAGTAAGGGTATCCCTCACTGAGGGGTGTAAATGTACCCCCCACCCCACCCCCCAGGAAATAAAATAGTCAGTCAAAAAATAAGTGCAGTCGGTCTCAGAATTTTGCATCGGCAACTAGGCTAAATGAATTAATGAGGTAAACAAACAATGCCAAATTAGAAGGGAAAAATCCAAAATACTTAATATGTATGAAGATCTGTGTATATGTATGATTGCTTTGATTGGATATCACTATGGGCCAGTTTTTCAACGCTCAAATTAGTAAAAACTGTTATGTGTTCAGTATTGAAACAGGAACGCTTCATTGAACTAATTAATGACTTGCATGTGATCGTGACCAAGTCGCCTATCGGTGTTCAAACTTGACTTAAGCGCAGAGGCTTGATGAAAATATGATGACATAATCATAGCTTTGTTAATTTATGTATATTCACCACAACAGTATATCAAAGGTATAGGTCCATGTAATGATGTGATTATTATCACTTTCAGAAGTATTCACAGTACTTTAAGTTCTTGCAAAATTCTTAATAAATAACATGAATTCCCATGGGTAGTACTCAATTTTACTCATGGTATAAGTGTTTTCTGAACATCAGAATTTTGCAAAATCTTCCCCCCAAGTCCAGGAAATGGCATTTCAGGGACTCTAGATTCACAAATTTATATGGGGGAGTAAGCCCCCGGCCCCCCCTAGAGACATCATCTTCACACAAATTGCAATTAGTCATCCCATGTACTAAATTTAGTGGTACTAGTGATGTACTACCACTGTAATATGGGTTTGTTCATCCTTATACTTAAAGAAGCTAAATAGCTAATATTTGGGACCTAGAAATTGACCCAAATGGGTCGCAACACATATAATAATGTAATCTGATTGTATATAAACTAATTTACATTCAGTTGTTTCCATTTTGACTCTAATTTCAAATCAGTGTCCAGCGAAATACAGCATAAGTGTCAACTGAATGGCAATTTCTAGCGTCTGGTTATTCCAGTCTATTGCGCATGCTCTCAAGATAAGATATGGCGTCACTGTTTGACATGAGTTGTGGAATATGTCTAGCCTTGTTCTTTCTGGTCACTTGTTACAAATGACGCTGAAACGCACTATGGTACACGATTCGTGTACCAATGGTAAAATGTTTATTTGGTCTTAAATATTGGATATCAGAAGCCTACCTTTTTCCGGTAAGATCACAACATCAATGTTGATTTGAATTGACAAATATTTTGTGTTTTCAACGTGTAAGACTTTGGATGATATTGATTTATAGACTTAACTACTTTAATATCAACAACCATCAATGGAAATGCTATAATAACAGTTTGTAATTGACCCTGAACCCACTCAATGAGTTACATACAGGACTAATTGTTTTGGCAGGGGTACCATTACAGGTATGGGTTCCCAAATATTATCTTATTTTCCCCAAACATCAGATCTCCTCACCCGTAACTGCCCCAACCCCATCCACCAATGGCACATACGTCACTGGTTCTTAATAAAATAAAAGTTGCCATTAATTATTATAGGCCATATAATGGATGTAAACAGCAGGGTGCTGAATTTAAAGGTAAAATCTCAGATGTATTTCAGTGAATAAAACTGGTTAATTATTTGTTAAAGGCTCTTGTACCTCTTTTTGGCATTTTCTAGTCCCAAACAATTATCTGAACATCCAGTTGTCAGGTGAAGTTGTAGATGGACTTGATCTGCCTGTAAAATGTACATGTATTTGATGTGATGGCTTTCTGATAGCCTTTGTTTATGGTTTTAACCCAACTATTTATTCAGATTTTGGCATTTGTTTTGCATTCTTACCTAACTGGGTTTTTTCCCTAGAGACCGAGTTTAACCTGGGACTTCTCCTTTAATTTGATAGCTTCATGTATGTCAGTAAGCAGTGTTAAGGTGTGATTGGCTTTGATTAAAATGTCAACTTATTTGATAGTGAGTAATTTTAACATTAAAGTTTAAAATGTTCTTTCTTATTGATTAAATTAAGAGGTGATAATTTGTTATATGGGAAACAAAAGTAAGACGTTAAAATCCATTTCATTTTTGTTATACATTTACATGTATGACATATCTCAACTAGGATAAGTGGACCTACATAACCTGTTTCCATTCACTGCTGATCGAAGATTGGGGGGCGGGGGGAAATCAAATTATTGATTAGTATGAAATCAGTGGACATTAACAGGGTGTTTATTGGTCGAATGGTCTTAAGGTGTGTGCTTTAGATCATAAGGTCTGTCTAGTGGCATGGTTTGAATTCCCAGCTTGTATGTGACAAGGAGTAGGGTCACCTGTCCTGTGGGTTTTCTCCGGGCCCCCATAGTTTCCTCCCACTGCTAAACATTATTGAAATTAAATTGAACAATACATTAGTCCAATAATAACCATGTGTCGAGTGGATGTAAAACCCCATTTCCCTTTCTCTCTAATGGAATTTTACCCCCACCTCATTTCTTTTGATAATTACAAATTATGACTGTCAGTTTTTTCAGGGATTTTTATACCTCAGAGTTGTGATTGTTAAAGGTGGTTTAGACTGACGGTGTAAGCAGTTCTGCTTGGAGTAGAGTCTGGGATAGTGGAAGTGGTTTTAATGTTTATAACTTTAATTCATCATAAACGGTTCCCCCCCCCCCCATCCAAATCTCAGATTCTTGAAGCTATCAGTGATGCCTGCAATTTGCATGTAATTCAATATATAACTTTGTGACTTGCAACACAAAAATTGTAAATTCTGATAGGATTCTTCGGTTTCCCTTTTTACTCAAATTAGAAACCAGCATCTGCCAGGCAGGATACGCCCACATTTTGCAAGAGATGGATAGAGAACAAGCTAAAAACAAACGCAATTTTTTGTACAATCAGGGGCAATAATCCAGAAAGTTATTGCCTGAAATGTGCAAATATCAAAAGGGACAGATATCTTTGGGATATAAAGATATGTTTTAAGTTTCATCAAAATCGGATAAAAAATGTGACCTCTAGAGGGTCCACAACCTTCGTATTACAAACTTCTACACAATTTGCATACAAAGAGCAGCCATTTTGTCGGACAGTTTCATTTCGATTTTCCTGAAATTTGAATTCAACCTTCATTATGGTGGAATGGTGATGTATTTAAACAGTTTTTAAAATCGGAAAAAACTTGTGACCTCTAAAGAATTCCCAAGCTAAAAATGCAATTTTTCGAACAATCAGGGGCCATAATCCAGGAAGTTACAGTCTGATATGAGCAAATAGTCAAAGGAACCAAGATCTTTGAGTTATAAACATGTATTACAAGTTTGTGACCTCTAGAGGATCCACAACCTTGATATACCATATGTTTACACTATTAGCGTATGAGGTGCGGCCATTTTTTCTGACAGTTTTGATCCGATTTTCACGTAATTCGAACTCAACCGACATTTCAGTGTAATGGTGATATATTCAAACGTTTTTTTTAAATCAGATAATAATTGTGACCTCTAGAGGGACCACAAGCTAAAAAAGCGATTTTTCGTACAATCAGGGGCCATAATTCAAAAAGTTACGATTCGATATGTACGAAAATGAACAGGAACCAAGATATTTGGGTTATAAACTTGAATTTCAAGTTTCATCAAAATCAGATGAAAAGTGTGACTTCCAGAGGGTCAACAACCCTGATACACAATATTTTGACACTATTCGCAAACGAGGGGCTGCCATCTTGTCCGTCAGTTTTGATCCGATTTTTACGAAATTCGAACTCAACCATCCTTAGGGTGTAACAGTGATATCTTCACACGGTTTTTTAAATCGGATAAAAATTGTGACCTCGATTGGGTCCACAAGCTAAAACGTGATTTTTCGTACGATCAGGGGCCATAATTCAGGAAGTTATGGTCCGATATACACGAATATCGAAAGGAACCTAGATCTGTGGGTCATAAACATACATTTCAAGTTTAAACGAAATCGGATAAAAATTGTGACCTTCTGTGTTCACAAGCTAAAAAAGTGATTTTTCGTACAATCAGGGGCCATAATCCATGAAGTTACAGATCTTAGGGTGATAAACCTATATTTCAAGTTTCATTCAAATTGGATAAAAATTGTGACGTGTAGTGTTCACAAACAATTTTGGACGAACGAACGGACAGGGGCGACGACAATATAGTCCACATGAAAATGTGGGCGTATAAAAATTGTAGATGATGATATGACCTCCACTTCAGGGCTTTTACTGCTAAATTTAGCCAGTGTGAAATTTTTGTGTTGCACCCAATTCTTTTTCATCGCATTTAATTTCTCACATGCATTGAAAAAATAAGATTTATTCCACAATAATATATTTCAGGAAAACTATCGGTTATTGATTACTACATAATATACATACATACATGTCAATATATTTTAAATAAATTAAGAACATAATTGGTGGTATTTGAAAATAAAAGTTATATTAAAATGTAAAAATGTCTTCTTAGCACATTGTAATAATTTGAAAAATTTTTTGCAGCTTTTTCTAGATGATGCTAAAATGAAAAATTTCACATCTTGTTTTAAAGGTAAAGTTTTTGTACTTTAAGATCTGAATAAATTTAGCATTGTATTACCTTGTAATCAACAAATCTTATGAAATTGAAGTATGGTTTAACATCTTATTTTCTGCAGCAACCGGGCCGAAATGTTAAGACACCTTTCATTGCAAGCCCTCCCCCCCATCTTGTACCACTGACTAGGTAAACCCAGGTGGAGAGAGAACAAGCTAAAAACAAAAGCAATTTTTCGTACAATCAGGGGCCATAATCCAGGAAGTTATTGTCTGAAGTGTGCAAATCTTTGGGACATAAACATCTATTTTAAGTTTCATCAAAATCGGATAAAAATTGTGACCTCTAGAGGGTCCACAACCTTCGTATTACATACTTGGTCGGATGCGACTGTTGCATCTGATGGTTGTATGGATTGGTTGTATTGTGTAAATGCGGCTTTAGGGTATAAGGAATAAGATTGCAAAATGTCAAGATGATAAGTTAAGAAATGCAGCCGGTAGATGACAAATACAAGAAATGGGTGTGGTTCTGCCCCTGGTGGTCGGGCATGCACCAAAAACAATAGGGATCATCCTAAGGGTATAAGGAATAAGTATGAAAATTTTTCAAGACTATCGATTAAGAATTGTGGCCTGTAGGCGACACACACAAAAACAATGTGTGTGGTTCTGCTTCTGGGGGTTGGGCATTTCACATCTTGTTTTAAAGGTAAAGTTTTTGTACTTTAAGATCTGAATAAATTTAGCATTGTATTACCTTGTAATCAACAAATCTTATGAAATTGAAGTATGGTTTAACATCTTATTTTCTGCAGCAACCGGGCCGAAATGTTAAGACACCTTTCATTGCAAGCCCTCCCCCCCATCTTGTACCACTGACTAGGTAAACCCAGGTGGAGAGAGAACAAGCTAAAAACAAAAGCAATTTTTCGTACAATCAGGGGCCATAATCCAGGAAGTTATTGTCTGAAGTGTGCAAATCTTTGGGACATAAACATCTATTTTAAGTTTCATCAAAATCGGATAAAAATTGTGACCTCTAGAGGGTCCACAACCTTCGTATTACATACTTGGTCGGATGCAACTGTTGCATCTGATGGTTGTATGGATTGGTTGTATTGTGTAAATGCGGCTTTAGGGTATAAGGAATAAGATTGCAAAATGTCAAGATGATAAGTTAAGAAATGCAGCCGGTAGATGACAAATACAAGAAATGGGTGTGGTTCTGCCCCTGGTGGTCGGGCATGCACCAAAAACAATAGGGATCATCCTAAGGGTATAAGGAATAAGTATGAAAATTTTTCAAGACTATCGATTAAGAATTGTGGCCTGTAGGCGACACACACAAAAACAATGTGTGTGGTTCTGCTTCTGGGGGTTGGGCATGCACCACAAACAATAGGGATGTTCCTTAGGGTATAAGTATAAGTATGCAAAGTTTCAAGATGATACGTTAAGAAATGCAGCCTGACAATCGAGGCTAACCTAAAATTGAATCGCTAATATCTCGGTTCAGAGGGAAGTAATTTGACTGAAATTTTCAGCATATACTGTTTTGTCAGCTCTTTATCTAATCTTACTTAATGCCCATTTAAACATACATTATGCAATAGCTAAATCTGCCTAATGCAGTTCTTTCTTTAGGCCTGAAATGTTATTTGAATTATTAAACAAACATTATGCAAGAGCTAAATCTGTCTATTGGAGGTCTTTCTTTATCCAGACCATAATCTACACTCGATGTCAACGCTAGCTTGCAATATTTATTGTATTAGGATCCGATTTGCTGCTCAACTTTCATTCATGATTTAATCATGAAATGGATAATCGAGACTAGTTTTTTATCGTACCAACTTTAGTTATGATCATCAGGGCTAGGTGAAAATTCCATCACTAAAATGTTGGTTCAGAGCGGATCAATTTGTCTGAAATTTTCAGCAAATTCCCTTTACATTATCTAGTTTTTAACTATTATAGTGAGAACTGCTGGCTCTTTATCTAATCTCTCATAATGTATCTTTAATATGTTTTCTATTCCTCAGAAAAGACATTTCTTCAGTTTTTCTTCAAACGCTTGAAGATGAATACAACTGGAAAATATGAAGACGAATTTCCTTACTTTTCTCCGTGTGGTCGTGAGAGGAATTATATTCACTGTGACGATAAACCCATTGTGTATACTCATATTTTACCTCAACATAAAGATGGAATAGACTATTTATCCTACGGGGGAGCTGGAGAGCTTCTAACAGTTGCTTTTCAACCAGAAAAAGTGTGTATGTTACCAGACACTGGAAGAATTTATCATCCTGCAACACCTACGATAGGAGGGGTTGGACTGATTAAATCTAGCTTAGCCATAGACATCAGTAAACATTTTGAGTTTGGAAATGGCGAAAATAATCCCCCAACACATTTCACATGGCAGGAACAGCGGTTTATTTTAACCAATGAAATTTTGCCACTGTTGCTTAAAAGTTAAATAATTTGTTCATTTAATTTCTTTATAGTATATAAAAATGTTATTTTCTTTTCTTTGATAAATATGAAGGTACTGGCATTAGTGGTTTATAATATTCTATAATATTGTAAATGATATTAAAATTAATGGTAAAAAATAACAGTCCAGCCATCCAAATCCAGATAAATGTGTTTTGACCTTTGAACTCTAATAGGTAGGCAGCCTGTAACCATACAGCCTACAAGTAAAAGATAATACTACAGATTATAATAAGATAATTTATATTTGATTATCAAGTATTTCATCTGATAGTGCTTTACAATAAAATTTTCATTAACCCAACACTTTGTAATTGATCAACTTCTTTCGCAATTCTCAGATTTCTGGTCTGGGAAATGAAATAAAATGAGGTTTAACCTCCTACTTTTTCTGCACCGACTGGGCTAATGAAGATGGGATGCTGGTCTGTATAAATCAAACAACATACAGTTACAAGAATGGCCATGGTTTAACTGTTTCTTTTAGGTACATTACAGCCTTTGTTGATGGTTCGTGGGACTGGGTAGTCGAGTTGTCTAACGTGTGTGCTTTAGACAATAAGATCTTAGAGTCAAGTGGCATGGTTTCGATCCCAAGCTTGTACATGACAATGCATAGAATCGTCTTGTCCAATCTCATGAATTTTCTCTGGGTCCTCTGGCTCCATCCCACTGCTAAAGACCCCTCCGAGCAAGTGAATTATTAGAATAAATTTTATCATTTGTAAATCCCAAAATGACATAATTAGTGTCAAGCAGATGTTATACCCCATTTCTCTCTCTCTTGTTTAAGGATCACAATACACCATCTTTTGTAATCGTCTATTATAATTAAATGCAGGATCTTTTTTTTGGGGGGGGGGGGGGTCATATACTTTCTATTTTATTGTCAAGAAATGTAAATAAAATGTTTGTTAGTTTAATGCATATGCTTGATATAAAATGCTGAAATTATTACCTGTCCGAGGAACCAGGTGATGGTTAGAACTGTGGCTCTTCTTATAGACATTTGAATAGAAGGAATAATCAGTGGTAAGAGACTAAGGTACCATAGAAAATACTGAAAAATACATGTAATGTCATTATTATTAAACATACATTATGCAAGAGTTAAATCTGTCTATTGCAGGTCTTTCTTTAGGCCTGAAATGTTATCTAAATTATTAATTAACTTATCCAGACCATAATCAACTCTCGATGTCAACACTAGCTTGTGATATTTACTGGATTAGGATCCGATTTGCTGCTCAACTTTCATTCATGATTTAATCATGAAATAGATAATCAAGACTATGTTTTGTATCTTACCGACTTTAGTAATGATGATTGAGGCTAGGCCTAAAATTCAATCGCTAAAATCTTGGTTCAGGGTGGATCAATTTGACTGAAATTTTCAGCAAATTCCCTTTACATTATCTAGTTTTTAACTATTATAGTGAGAACTGCCAGCTTTTCTCTTTATATAATCTCCCATAATGTATCTTTAAGAAATAATTTTAAAATCTCTTTGATCTTTCTGTCAAGTGAAAGAGTAGTGTTGTGTAATTTGAAATTGTAATGAATTACTGATCACTTTATCTTTTACATGTATTTTCTCTTTTAGAATGGAACACATCAGACAAAAATGTCAGAATCATCCCACAACTTCTATGCAACAAAATGAACTGGGCATAGTTATCAGATAGAATTACTGTAAATCACATGATTTCGTAGATTATTCCACTGTTTAGTAGATCTCAAGCACAAATCATCTAACTTGTCTTGCTAAGCCAGAAAGGTTGGTTAATTAATAAAAACAAGATGACTAGTCATCAACATCCCACACCCTTGCACTTGTTTGGAAGGCATAAGGAAAAACAACTTCTTTATGTTATTGGTAATCAATACAAAAATATATCAGATTAATCTCATATTCCAACACATGGAATATCAATGGGATTAGTCAGAAATTCATACTCTGATCACAGTAGCTCATCAAAGCAGGGTGGCTACTACCTGTAAGGTTTGCACAACAACCTTTGCCTACCTCAGGAAGCTGCTGTATGTTAAACAATAAGCTACTCGAGGAATCAAAGGCGTCATTTCATCGCAATCGAATTCGGGCAGCTGATTCAAAGGAACTTTTCAACATTTTTGACAGTATCTCAGGCTCTAAGAAAACATCAGCTGGCATTCTTCCGAATAATGTTGAGATTTCTATGCTTCCAGAGACATTTGCGAACTTTTCACTGAGAAAATAGCTGCAATTCGAGCAAAACTTATGAACCATGACATCCCGATTGTTGATGATTCAATTCCACTGTGAGCTCACGGTACCAAGTCCCCTATCACTACATGAGGTAATTTCCATTGTTCCAAAAATGCCAGCGAAGACATGTGAATTGGAACCAATACCAACGCAGTTTGTGAAGGATTGTTGTGATGTATTGGCCCCTTTGTTACTACGTATCCTGAATGTGTCATTTGAGTCTGGGGTTTTCCCAGATGAGTGTAAAGCTGCCATTGTCCGACCCCTGATCAAAAAGCTTGGTTTGGATCCCAATACTCTAAAACATTACAGACCAGTTTCAAATTGTGGTTTCCTAGACAAATTCCTAGAGAAGTGTGGTTTTTCACACTTACACCAAGACTTGTCCAGTGGTGGCCTCTATGGCAATTTCAGTCTGCTTATCGAGAGGGGCACAGCACCGAGACGGCGCTCCTTAGAGCCCTGAACGATGTTGTGCTCGCTTTTGATAAGCAACGTGATGTCATATTGGTATTACTGGACCTTTCTGCTGCCTTCTTCACCATCGATCATAACATCCTCATGAACAGATTGCGTAAACGTTTTGCCGTCTGTGGTCAGGCTTACGATTGGATCAGTTCCTTTCTTCAAAGAAGAACACAAAGAGTCTCAGTTAGATCTGTGGTGTCGGACGACCATCCCCTAGAATTTGGTGTTCCCCAGTTCTGTTGAGGACATTATCAGCCGCCATCGATTTCTGCCGGTCGTATTGAGGTCTGTATAGATGAGATTCGTCTCTGGATGCGTGCAAACTTACTTGCACTCAATGACGATAAGACTGAAATTGTCCGTTTCTCATCGTGCAGGAAAAATGCGAGTCCACAGGTTGTTGCGGGTGATGTACAAGTTGGTGAGGTGCTTGTTTCGCCATCAGCTTCCGCTCGTGACTTGGGGGTGATGATGGACTCGGCTGGACTGATGGATGATCAGATAAGAAAGTGTGTCTAGCAAGGCTTTTCACTCACTGTGGCGTATAGGAAGAATCCGGCATTTATTAGACCAGGCCAGTACTGAGAAATTGGTGCATGGCTTTGTGACATCAAAGCTGGATTACTGCAACAGTCTTTTTTATGGTTTCCCGAAATACAAGTTAAAGAAATTACAACATGTTCAGAATTTCGCTTCTCGACTGGTGATCCGAAGGAAGCTGGAGCATCACGCAGAGATGACGCCCATACTTGGAGAGCTACACTGGCTCCCAGTTGAGAAGCGGATTTATTTCAAACTGTCATGTATAATTTTCAAGTTAAAACGCCATAGTGAGTCGGCGCCTTGCTACCATACTGATATCATTAGTATTCAAGTTCCATCTTATCGGACTAGAAGCAGTGATGAGGTGAAGTTGCGACCCTTTTCCCACAAAACACATGGAAAACAAACCAGTAAGTTGTATGGCGATCGCGCCTTCAGTCGTGCCATGCCTACTCACTGGAATGAGCTGCCACTAAGACTTAGACCACTCACCAAATTCAGCCTATTTAATTCCAACCTCAAAACATATTTATTCAGTTAGGCAATAATACTACTAGTCAAACTAATATTTTTATAGGCATACATTTGTATATCTTTAATTGAGATTTTTTATGAGTTATTGATAGTTTTTATTTATTTATTATTATGTATATACTATGTGTAGTACGCCCATTAAAAGACGGTTAAGACAATTTGTGTGTAATGGTCTATAAACAATATATATTATTATTATTACATCAGAAAATAAATTACTATAAAAAGTTGATGTTTGTACAAAGTTTCAAAAAGATTTCTTGAACGGACAATATACTCTGCAAACAAAATTGGGACAGAAGGACGGACATCAGAAAATAAAACAATAGGTTCATGAATGTAAAAGTGTTAAAAAGGTTTCTGATATATGCTATAGAATAATAATTATATACCAAAAACTAAGTTAAAACACAAAAATTATTAATTCCGAGAAATTCCAAATTAGCAAAAGGCACAACTACTATAATAGGTTGATGTTTGCACAAAGTTTCATGAAGATATTTTGAATGGTTTATGAGATACGCTCCGGAAACAAAATTGTACACCAAAAACTAATTGAAATTTGTTTCCATGCAAACACAAAAAAATATTAAATCAGAGAAATCCCAAATTAGCAAAAGGCACAACTACTATAATAGGTTAAGGTGTGTACAAAGTTTCATGAAGATATCTTGAATGGTTTATGAGATATGCTCTTGAAACAAAATTGTACACCAAAAACTAAGTCAGATTTGTTTCCAAGGAAACACAAAAAATATATATCCAAGAAATTCCTAAATAGCAAAAGGCACAACTACTATAATAGGTTGATGTTTTCACAAAGTTTCATGAAGATATCTTGAATGGTTTATGAGATACACTCCGGAAACAAAATTGTACACAAAAAACTAATTGAAATTTGTTTCCATGGAAACACAAAAATTATTAAATCTGAGAAATTCCAAATTAGCAAAAGGCACAACTACTATAATAGGTGATGTGTGTACAAATTCTCATAAAGATAGCTTGAACGGTTCATGAGATATGCTCCAGAAACGAAATCGGGACGGATGGACCCCATTTGAATATCCCTCCCCTAACTTTGTTGGCGCGGGATAACCTTGAGTATGAAATTAATTGCATAAATTTAATCTTGAACATAGGTTTTCCACAGAAACTAAGTCCTAAGTCAAAGTTACACAAAATATATTGTGAAAATGAAAAGCAAATTTACACTCATTTGCCGGTTTTATTTTGAAATTTGTATGCATGACTTTCTTTGGTAAAATAAGCAAATCAATGGCCAATGTTAATGGTCCAAATTGGTTTCAAATGTCATTTTAATATCTGATTCGTCATAAAACCCTAAAATGTTTAAATACACTGAGGATTAGCTGGAATTGCATTTAAAAGTAAAACAGATCTCTTAATTTTCGGGTTCCGGTTTGTTCATTCCTGGGGCTTAACATCATTTCGCAACTAGGGTGACATTGCAGAAAACTCTGGTTCCCCACCCTGACTAGCATTTCACCAGAATTAGAAATAATCTGCGAAAATGGGAATCCAAAATGAATTTAAAATAACCCTTTCTCACGACATGTGTATTTCTGATGGATATATGGGCTTTTAACATTGTTAAAAATAAAGTCCCCCAATCTAACACTTGCTCAGTATCTACATCAACATGACCAATGGTCTTTGTAATCAAATCAGTAATCAAATGAACGTACCTGTGAGGTACAAACTTTATTGGTGGTAACAAAGGCAAAGGTAATGAGAAACCAACTCATTGGAAGATCTGTGTAATATTTCATAGAAAATGCTAACACTAGGCAGAGCTGAGGTAAAAATACTAAAAGTTTCATCCATAATACAGAGTCCTGTTCTGCTGTCAGGTATAACATATAAAAAAAAGGAGAAAAGTTGTGTCTGATGTCTTTCCTTACTATATGATAAATATAAGATTCATATAAAAACTTCCAACCATACCTGAAATATAGAAGATTTAATCTTTTATCTCTATATAGTTAATAGATTTTCATTTTTAGTAATATGAGAAAGAGACAGATATGGGGCTTAATTTCCATTCAATACAAACCAGGTCATTTCGGGACTAATATATGGTACAGATTTATTTCAATAATTTGTAGGGGTCTTTAGCAGTGGGGGGAAACCGGAAGAACCCAGAAAAAATACCCACCAGATTGTATAGGCGGCCCTATTCCTTTTCACATATATGCTTGGGATAGACACTGCACCACTGGACTCAATGACAGATCTTATGATCTAATGTGTATTCATTAGATCAAACAGCCACCACCTATTTCTAGTAAGCTTGTAGACATACATCATTCCAGATTCTTACATTTGAGCTGAAATATATGCAGTATTGATATGGACAGTGGGGGACTACTACATTACTTGAGTCATAACATTTTCTCCTTAGTTATGGGATATTTCCAAATGATCGTGTCCTTGAACCTGTACAGAGAAAATTTTGTGTCCCAATACTTACCAGTGATAAAACACAACTGTGAGTAAGACTAATGTTAATACACTGACCAGAACAAAATAAACTTTATCTTTGTTAGGTAGAAACAAATTCACAACTTTCTTAATATAATGATCTGTTTTACTTGATGGATGAGATAAATGAAAATATATAGTTAATGCATAAGTCACAGGATATATTTTAAAGTGCACTGTCAATCCATACAGCAAAGCCGACAAGATAACTTGTTTTTTACATAAAGACATCATACAAATCATGACTAACGCTGTCATAACTGATTCTGCGTTTCCTCGACTTGATACTGCCATGGGTAGAGGATTATACAGCCATAAACAGCTGTACATCTGAGCTTGTTGAATGGAATATTTCTGATGCTTTAACACTAGATATATTAAGTAACCCGTCAATATATCAAACACACTAAACATAACTTTTCCAAACAATGGTGTTACTGTTATATTTGGTAATAACATGTATGCTAATATAGGTGTATATCTGTAGGTTGATCTGTTATATGGTGACTTTCCCTGAAATACACAATATATTAAATTACTTGCATCTAAAAATACATTAATATTTCAAATATATATTTATCATTTCACTTTATAAAGTAACATGTTAGCTTTTACAAATATTTCAAACAAGAGTATAAATTTAAAAAGAAGTACACAAAGCAGAAAGTAAAATAGCTAATGATGTCTTTTAGTAACGTAACAATAACAATGTTTATACTTTAAGAATATACCTGATGCACATAATGAGCAGCATCTGAGAAGACCTTATAATCAACATCAGTAAATTTCACCATCAGTGTCCTATCCTGCCATTCTCCATAGCCAATTAAAGCCAATCTGAGAAGTAATGCAATCACACAATAGCCAAATATACTCAAAGTATACACTGTCTTCAACATTTTGTTATATTTTTCACCCAACAAAACAAATGATTGATGTTTAAATTGTTGCAAACCATATGACTGATGAGGCTACATGTACAAAAATTCTGTAGCAAGTAATATGAATGCTGGGTCTACCTGGGAGATAGTGTGCCTATACTAACTATTGGTAATAGAACATTATTGTAGGTTTACTGTCCTAATACCAAGGTACCTGTAATAAAATAAAATATAGGCTCATCTCAGCTAACTTGATCTCATAAAGAAAATAAAAAATTACATTCCAATTTAACTATATCACATAATAATTCCATCGGTATATCCAATGAATTTTAAAGTTTACCTGTATGTGGAAAAGGGAAGGGGGTCAGTTATTGGTTTATATGGTACTCAGCAGTGGTTCTCAACCCTTTTTTGTCAACGGCACAACTTGAAACATGTGTAAAAATAGCAGCACACCCGGCTAAATATATATGAAAAATATTTGAATTTTGCAAAAAAAAACATGGCAAGACATAAACAGCATACACAGACTAGTTAGACACATAGAATGACTCAAACTAAATAAAGAAGAAAAAAAAACCCAACAGCTATGAGCTTACCAGTAGACACCAGTAAATGTTCAATTAGGATCACATGGTTTTTCCGCATTTTCAAATTTTGCGGCACACTCAGGAAGATCTCGCGGCACACCTGTGTGCTGTGACACACTGGTTGAGAATCACTGTGGTACTGCATAGTTAAAGTGAGAGTACAGTTTTATTTTTATAATTTATGCCAACAGACCTATAATACTAAATAATCATATAATTATAATGCATTAGTAGCAGTTAAATACTGCATTTTTCTGCTATTCTTGTCCAACAGTTTTGCAACCAAAATCCCCTTCTCTAATCTATGCCGACCTGAATACCAATAAAACCAGTCAGACTGTTGCAGCTGTATTCACAAATAATAATCGATGCCCTAAAAATGTTGCACAAAGCAGAGTGGCTCCAGACCAAATATTTTAATCCATGGCCAATTCAGTAGAAATTTGATAGTATTAATGATTGAATGGAATTCAGGTCTGCAGCCACCTATGGCTATATTAAATAGCTTGACCACTTTGAAGTTACTATTTACGGGGCTGAAATAGCAGGAAAAGGCGTCAGATTTTCTTGGGGAGGCCCCTACACCGGTATCTGTAAACGGGAATATTTCCGTGCATTTCATTTCCAATCCCCACCTGGCACCTCCAACCCCCACACATATTCTTCCGGTCGTACGCGTGTCAGTCAGTTATACCCTTCAATCAATAGTTCAGTAACCTGTTTTAAGGTATTATTTTGCGTGTAGTCGTGTATTTTTGGTCAGAAAGGGTATTTTGTAAGAAATGGACAGTTTAGTTACTAACTAAAAAGAGGTTTCATTAATTTCTACGCCATGTTGTTTATTTATTACACTCTGATCTAAAATACATTTATAAAGATCCAGTCAAACATTGCATAATGTTTAAATCTATTAACAGTCTAGGAAACAATAATAACAATCATAAACATTGAAATACAAAATCTGTTTTGAAACTGTCCAAAATGATAGGAATTAAATTAGATAAACGAAGTGGCATTGTGTTATAGATTAAAATATGCAGCGGTGTAGAATCCTCTTAGATATAGTCATGAAATTTAGAACTCTTATAATTTAACACCAAATGACAAAATATGAATAATATAATGGAAATAAAAAACCCTTCGTCTCCTCGTTTATTTTAAAAATTTACTCGATACAGTAACATGAGAAAGTAAGATGTCTCACACACGCCCAACATAAGGTATCTCAAAGTCATGCGACAGTGCAGGATATTATTCCCGTGCGCTTAATTATTATGTAACCGCTTGTACCAAAACATTAGCACGTGTTATAAGCCGCGTTTCGCTAAAATAACTTTTAATGTTTATGTATAACCCATGGCCAACCCTACACATTTCAACGAAATTTCTTGTATGTAAAGAATTAAAAGATCGTCGAGACGGTGAGGAATATTAAACAGCCAGTATCGTATATTCTAGTGTACAGTTCTATATATGATGGTGCTAAACAAGATCCACCTGACCTACCCAGTCCAGTGTCAATTAATGACCTTATTTGTGTTTATATATATATAAATATTTGTGTATATTATTATAAAATACAGTCTCCAAAGAACATAATTGTAAACTTGATCGTCACATTAACGATGATATCACTTGTAAAAAGAAAACTAATCGTCTAATCTAATTAATTTTCTTTATAATTTCATGTAGAAAATAACATTAGACTGCTGCCCAGTGCCGGAGAGAATGTCTGCTGGAAATACCATAATAATCTGAGCACTGACCTATTTACTAGGACGGGTAAGACATTTTGCAAGGCTTCGCAGAACTCCTTCAAAACCACTGTTAAAGTAGCCAAGTCTCTAACGATCAGTATCATCCAAAGTCTTCGACATTGCAAAGACAAATTATTTGTCAGTTTAAATCAACATTGATGTTGTGATCTTACTGGGAAGAGATGGACTTCTGATATTCACTATTTAAGACAATATAAATATAAATATTTTACCATTGGTACACGAATCGTGTACCATAATGCATTTCAGCGCCATTTGTAACAGGGGACTCGAAGAAGGAGGCTAGACATATTCCACAAGTCATGTCAAACGATAACGACATATTCTTATATGGAGAGCATACGCAATAAATACAATAACCAAATGCTAGAGATTGCCATTCGATTGATACTTCTGGCATATTTCGCCGATCATAACTGATTAGAAATTACAGTAAAAACGAAATGAAATGGGGTTTAATATCCTACTGTTCTGCTCCTATACTGGGCTAATGAAGACGGGCATCCGCCATACAGTGTGCTATGAGGAAAATTTTGCTCTGGCAGCGGCACTATCGCCTACTCTTATATCGAATTCCAACTGCCAGGGGATCTTTTTCATGCATTCCAATATATACAAAGGACCTCGGTTTTTGTTTCATCGGCAGGACTAGACAGCCTGACAAGGGGAAACCATGTCGGAAAATCTGTATGAACTTTCTCGGCCAATGCAGGGATCGAACACCCGATCTCCAGGCTAGCGAGCCAGCGTCTTAACCATCTAGCCACCATGGCTCCCTGCAGTAAAAACAGAAACGATTGAATGTAAATCAGTTTGTATACATTCATATTACATTATTATATGCGTTGTGACCCATTTGTGTCAATTTCTAGGTCCCAAAGTATTTGCGATTTACCTCCTTTAATTAATGCAGGAAAGATGTCATCAGTGGCAGTGATGGCACAGCTAGGATTTTCTAGTAGGGACGCTATACATGATTTGAAGTAAGGTACATGTACATGTATGTCCTAAATTAACAGAAATAAATGCATCTTATTGATCAGAAAGGGGGGAAATAGGCTCATGGAGGAAGGATATGACTGGCTGAGAATGAAAAATACATATACACGCAAAGCCATTAAAAACGCAATGCCAAATTCAAAGTTTATTTACTGCAACAACTTTTAACAAATGTACATAACAATTCTAGTGGTGTGAAATCGTTGTCTGAGGCAAGCAATGGTCGATGGGTGGACATTAAAGTGTCTGGCGACGGCTACCTATGAAGCCACCTGATCCAGCATGCCAATAGCTCTGTTCCTGTTTTCTTGTGTAAGGTGTGTCATTTTTCCGAAATGATGAATGTTGAAATTTTGATCTGTATTTAAAGGGTCAGAGTGCAGGGAATGCACGTGCAAAACGTGTGACATGGGACGGCTTAAAATCGTAAAAAAGACAAGTGTTGCGTTTGCACGAACAAAGTTCATTACCAAGAACTGATATTCGGTTCAAACCCAGAACTCCACAAAAAGAGACCCATCACAAGTTTCACCTATATGCCATAAGATAGTAAAGCCCAAGAAAACGTTTACCAGAAATATTTCACGAATTAGGCATTGTATTTTTAATGGCTTTGAGTGTATTAAATTTTGTAAGTCCATCAGATAGTAGGATGATGTTTTTCAGTCAAATTTATTCATTTTGTTTGTCTAAATTAACTATTATTCATGTTTCTACCCTTTCCAATTGACAATTACTAGTTCTGGTTGAAATTGAAGAAAAAGTCTAGGCTAGAAAGCTAGTAAAGTTTTATTCTAGTACAGTAGTTTTTATCATTATCTATTTGTCAGTCATTAGAATGTTTATAGAAATATCAGTTCATAAAAATATTTTTGCTGTTGTTGATACATCTGCATAATAGCCTGTATCCATTTTGCATGCCTATGATTAATGGTGTTAAATTCAAACTATGTAGTTGCACTTTTTTCTGTGTTCTTTTTTCAGTGCTCTTCTTTGGTCAGTTCGTAAAAGACCAATTCAAGTCAAGAACTTTCTTAGTAGACAGAAAGATTAAGTGAAACTACAGAATGGGTGTGAAGGGTTTGACTGCATTTATTGATGATAACCCAGTTTTACTACAAGATTATAAACTACATGACTGTAAAGTTATACTGGATGGAAATAACTTTATTCATTTTGTTTATAATAAATACAGCACAACCTTTCAATATGATGGAGATTATTTTAACTATTGTAAGAAAATCCAGCAGTTATTTTCCAACTTTAAACTATGTAATATTCAGGCGTATGTTATTTTTGATGGAGGTTATGAGGTATCAGATTCGAAACTACGGACTTTGAAAGAGAGAGCTGCGAAACGAATCAAGCAAGCTGTAAATCAGAACAGTCTCCTGCCAATTTTAGCTAGCAAAGCTTTTCTAGAGACACTTGATAAATTACATATCCCCCATGTGACATGTGATTTTGAGGCTGATGAAGAAATTGCTATTTTGGCCAATCAGTGGAACTGTCAAGTCATAAGTAATGATAGTGATTTTTTTGTGTACAGACTCAAAGCAGGCTTCTTGCCTTTGAATTATGTAGATTTCCGTCCCATAGAAATAAAACATAAATATCATTATCTAGCAACACAGAAATATCACTTTAATCATTACAAACAAATCTTGGATAATTTTCATCCTGAAATGATACCACTACTGGCTACAGTATTAGGCAATGATTTTATCAAACAAGATACATTTATGGCCTTCACAGAAAAATTTGAAAAACCGAAGCATAAAATCAGATATGCTACAAAGACAGTTTCTAAGATAACTGCAATCATTAATCATTTTGATCAGTTCAAAACATTTAGTGAAGGTAGAGCAGCCATCACTAAAGATTTTGACAACATTGGAGGAATTGCCAGCCTACAAAATGTGATCGACACATCTATCAAATGTTACACAAAGATCAACTCGGCTAAGACATACTTGACAGAATATTTTGATAGTGTCTTGCAGTATTCTAGTATTAGTCGAAAAGACTACTTTGGACAACCGTTTCCAGAATTTTTGATCAAGGGACTTTTTGATGGAAGTATTTCTCCTCACATTCAAAATATGGCCATCCTTCATAGAATTATACTTCCATGTCAAAAGGAAGATTTAAATCAGCCTTCATCTCATAAAATTTCAACACGTATTCGTCAAGTCATATATGGAATATTGTTTCAAAGTGTTTCGCAACAAAACAAACAGAAAGATGAATTGGGGAAAAAGACGAAGGTTACCAGGCACACTCATGTGGAAGAAATTGATAGGATCAGAAAAGGTATAGCATCAGTGTTTGTAGATCCTAGGATAAATTTCATAGAGTATGGAAAACTACCTACAGTCATGGAGATATCTCAAATGTCACATAGTAGCAGACGTGAATTAGTGTTAAAATCACTTGGGGTGACGGAAGGGTTTTTATCTCACTTTCACTCGTCTAGTCATTTCCTAATTGCTGTCTTAAATTACTGGGTATATTATTCAGAAGTGTCGAAACAGGAGATCGAATCATTAATACTCACTATTCTTATACTGAAGATAAAGACCTTGATCAATGATACCAGAAGTGAAACAACCACATCGAATCTGATTTCAGCACATCATAGTGTAATAACAAAATTCTACTACATGTGCTTATGTATTCAAGACTTTATTCTTTCATTAGTTAATAGACATATAATAGATATTGATGAAATTCTTGGATCTTTGACTTTCTCAGAATTAGTTGAAATAAATTTGGACTTATCAGAAGGAGACCGACAGCAAACCATTCCTGATCGAATTCTTCATCTTTATTCAGAATATCAGTCATGCTTTTTGTTTACTTCTTTATTAAATCAACTCCTACAATCACCATTGAATGAACCTAATTTATGGGAAATATATGATGGACAGTATGTGTATTATTTTAATAATTGTTTAATGCAAAGGCAGTCAGTGTATTATAGTGGTGTTGATATGTTGACAATTATGGAAAAACATCCAAAACTTTTAATATTGTACAAATCTATCACAAATACACTGATAGCAGGGGCCGATTCTAGACCAAATAAACGTAAAAAATCTAACAGAAAGTCTGCTACAGTTGCCAGGATTAATTACATAATAGTGTTGTCACTGTTGTGTATCTTCATTATTGCAACAATTGTTTTGATATATTACCAATTAGTGCCTAATTTATTTATATAAGGTCAATAATTTAATGATTTTGGGTATTTTTACTGTTCAATAATTCTTAATTAATGGTTATTTGTAATTTAAACAAGACAACAGTAAGGCTGATGTCTCCCACCTCAATCCCAAAATAAATAGATGAAACTCATCAAATCACTCTGCATAACCTAAGCAGAAAATGTCCATTGATGTTGATGTAATGAAACTATATGTTCAAATTGCTTATATATGTATTTGGTTTGCCTATGCTCATCATTAAACTGAGTAAAGGCATTCAACTAATGAACAACTACACCAAATTGGAATTTTCTAGTTCAATTTGAAGCAGAGGTGCTTTATTTATTACTGTTTTAAGAGATTGAATAGTGTTTCGAAAAATGGGGGATAATAATACATGATCAACAACTTCTGTCTATGGTTTTATTGGATAAAATAATAAATTTTTTACTATGACATGACTGATCTAAGTATGTTGATTTGTAGTCTCCAAGATTTACAACAATGTAGGATTTGGGAGGGGGGTGAAAGAGTAATGATCTTTATTATTACAGTAAAATTATAGTTTACATTGCAACCAGAGGTGGATTGGGGCCGGGAATCGGCACGTGCTCCCATGTTGGAGCCCGGACGGGGGGGGGGGGGGGGGGCTTTCCCCCTGGAAAATTTTGAAAAATGAACCCCAAATATGCAATTTGGTGGCATATCTGATTATAGTCTCTGTCAAATAATAATCTCATAAATATATGTCAAATAATTTACAACCATCAACCTGTGAAATTATCATATTATTAATTAATATCATTGTATCGTCAAGAGTCAAGAGAATTTAACTGGTTAAAAAATGGGACTAGCTGAGAAAATTTTGACCATTTGATTAACCAGTTATAGTAATATTGAATAAGTAGCACTCATATTCAGCCAGCAGACCAGCTATCATCAAATTTTGCTGAGGCCTTAAAATTGAATTTTTTTTTTGAGTTATGAACCATCGGCAGATGTTTCTGGCGTATCCCCACAAACAGGGTGCAGGTGACTTAATAATTAGTAAATTTGTGGGCCACAGTGTCGGGTGAATCCGATGAAATTTTCGGATGAAATTCGGAATCCCCATTGCAGGATTCCGAATTCCGGCCCACACCCAGCACACCCGGCCAAGAAAGTCTATTATACCAGCCCATTCCCGACTCCAGTGATGACGTGGCGGCCACATAAAACATGATCATCATCGCTCCATGGCCGGTCCACCCCCCCCCCCCCCATCTAATGTTCAGCAGAAAAAGGTTTTTTAGACGAATTGGATAAAATTATTTTTTTCATTTTTTGTCCAACCGGCCCTTTGGGCGATCGCACAAACCACCCCTGATTGCAACTCAAAATTGAAGCCTTCTATTTTATATTTCTGCCTTGTTCTAAAAGTATGATTCATTAATTGATCAGCACATTGTGTCGCCGAAATTCCAACCAAACCTTCCTGAAACAGTGCAACGGTTTCCTCAGTGTCTTTTGTTAATATGTTTACATAACATTTCTAGTCTGTTTCAATCATTTACTTATTTGGTGTTACTTAAAACTTAAGAGTGACAAGACCAATAATTAACATAGTATCTTTCTGTACAGTTTATTTACAAATATTAGGAATAACAAAAGCAGTATAATATTTTGCAAGAATTTATAGTCAACAAGTAAGGAAATTGTATCAAAAATGAAATGAAAATATTGATAAATAGTGTTTATGACCATTTTAAAGTCAATGTGACACCCATGTAACAAGGGTTTAAAAATGAAATTTACATCAATTGAAATGTAAGGGAAAAAGAACAAGATTGGTGTTCAAATAAAGGGATCAACTATTTCTGGAGATATGGCAAATCAATAGACAAAATTGAAAAACAATTTGAACTTCCTAAAGTAATTAATACATTGTAAGATGTCTAACATAAATTGTGAGCATACCCTCTACATTATGCACAATAGAATCTGAGGCTACAATTCGTAGATGGGAATTAAGTTGTTACATAAATCTTCTAAATATTATCATTGTACTATCACAATCATGCAATATATTATACATAACAGTTACTTCACTTTCTCCAGGGGCTAAGGTCTAACTAAGAATGCAAAAGTACAACCAACAGTTCTTTTTGACTATGTGAACTTCCCAAACTAATAAGAAGTGGTATCAGGTTATCTATTAAAAGTAACTCTTAACAAATGACATAACACTCAATAGAATTGGTGGGCACATCTGCTCAACTTCATGAGCATTCTCCAGGTTCTCTATGCAAAAAAACGGAAGCTACACTAAACTGAATATTCTGTTTGACTCGGCTGTAAATCCTGATTTCTGCTACTGAAGTATATTGACTTTGAATAAAGACAAACACCAGTCAAGAAATATTCATTTCATCATGAAATGATTTAATTGGATGCAAGATCCACATTATTTTTCAGTGTATTGTTAATAGGTAACATATTGACCATAGGAAATGACTTATCCTTTTACACTGATCTAACATTAAAATGCAGTTCACCATTAATTAACACAGACATCAGTATTTCTTTATCGACAGTGAGGACTTGTTTCAGTCAGATTTTCTATATTGGTTAATTTAACTTCAAATTTCACCATAATATAATAATCCAGGCAACTTCAATTTACAATATAGTTTGTTTTGCAGTGAACTGAAAAATAAAGAAATACAAATGTTTTAAGACACATTAAAATTTAGTCCTTGACAAACCAGCAGCTGCCAGACAGGATACGCCCACATTTTTTAAGAGATGGATAGAGTACAAGCTAAACAAAAAGCGATTTTTCGTACAATCAGGGGCCATAATTCAGGAAGTTACGATCCAATATGTGCAAATATCGACAGGAACCAAGATCTTTAGGTTATAAACTTACATTTCAAGTTTCATCAAAATCGGAAGAAAATTGTCACCTCTAGAGGGTCCACAACCTTGATATATCATATTTTTACGCTATTTGAGTATGAGGGGCGGCCATTTTGTCTATCAGTTTTGGTCCGATTTTCACAAAATTCTAACTCAACCAACCTTAGGGTGTAAAGGTGATATATTCAAAGTTTTTTTTAAATCAGATAATAATTGAGACCTCTAGAGGGACCTCAAGCTAAAAACGTGATTTTTCGTACAATCAGGGGCCATAATTCAGGAAGTTACAATCCGATATGCACAAATATCGAAAGGAACCAAGATCTTTGGGTTATAAACTTATATTTCAAGTTTCATCAAAATCAGTAGAAAATTGTGACCTCTAGAGAGTCCACAACCTTGATATATCATATTTTTACGCTATTTGAGTACGAGGGGCGGCCATTTTGTCTGTCAGTATTGGTCCTATTTTTACAAAGTTCGAAACTCAACCATCCTTAGGGTGTTTTTTTTTAAATCGTATAAAAATTAGGGGCCATAATTCAGGAAGTTATGGTCCGATATGTGCAAAATCAAAATCAGAAGAAAATTGTGACCTCTATAGGGTCCACAAGCTAAAAACGTAATTTTTCGTACAATCAGGGGCCATAATCCATGAAGTTTCGGTCCAATACATGCCAATATTGAAAGCAACCGAGATCTTTTGAAGATAAACCTATATACATGTAATAATAACAATGTATATTTATAATGCGTAAATTTCCATACACATATGCATGCTCAAAGCGCTAAACACTATGTAAACAATATAACTTGCACTATTTACACAACAGTATATTCGGTCAAATACAACTGTATTCACATTCAAACAGATGAGTCTTTAATCTCAGTTTGAATGATTCCAGAGAAGGGGTAGATTTTACACTTAATGGTAAGGATTTCATAGTTTAGGAGCAATGAACCGAAAAGATTTGTATCCAAAAGTTTGGAGGTTAAATTTGGGAACTTCTAGTAAAAGCTGGTCTTAGAATCATAAATTACATTGAGGAGTATACACATGAATTGGATCAGACAGATATGTTGGACTAGTACCATTGAGACATCTATATACATGACAGAGAATTTTGTAGTGGATTAACCAAAAAAAAGTCTTGATTTGAAATATAGCTTTGTTTTCTGAAAGAATGTTATTAAGTGAAGTATGGGTATATAGTGATAAATAGGACCATAATTCAAAACATTCTGGACAAATAAAACTAGATAAAACTGTGTACCTATAAATTCTGAAACTGGATCTGTACCATCTTCTGATTTAATAGAACCAGTGATATCTTTATTTTCTATTAAAGGTAGAAATAGATGTATAAAATCTGATGTGTACGGTGGAGCTATAACATCCAAAACCTGAAAAAAATCAGTTTTACCATTTTACAAGTACTCTTGCGCATTTTCAATCTTTAAAACTGTTTGTGGGTAAGACGCTGGCTCGCTAGCCTGGAGGTTGGGTGTTCCATCCCTGCATTGGCCGAGAAATTTTCCGGCGTGGTTCTCCCTTGTCAGTGATGCAGGATTGAGGGTCTGACAAGGACAGCTGTCAAGTCGTGCGGATGGGACGGAAAACTGAGGTCCCGTGTACACATAAGCGTGCCAGAAAAGATCCCTTGACAGTTGGAATTCGATATAAGAGTAGGCCGTAGTGCCGCTGTCCGGGCAAAATTTCCCTCATAGCACACTGTATGGCGTATGCCCGTCTTCATTAGCCCAGTTCGGAACAGAACAGTAGGACGTTAAACCCCATTTCATTTCATTTCATTTCATTTCATTTAAAACTGTTTATTAGAATGAAATGGGGTTTAACATCCTACTTTTCTGCTATGTCTAGCCTAATGAAGACAGACATACGCCATACAGAGTGATATGAGCAGTGGCAGTACTAGCCGCCGGTGGTCGGAGAGGCAAAGCTGGGGCAAAGTCCAAGGTTAAGGGGGCAAAGGCACGAGCTTCATCTTGGGTATGGCCCCCCAAGCCCCCTCCCCCTGCCCCACCCCACCCAAAAAAATGTTAGCAAAACAGGCTGCCGGGGAATATTTCAGGCACTGATCGTAGAGATAAAGTGTCAACGGACTTGCAAACATAATTGATTAGAATGACAATATTTTTTTTTAAAAATTGAATATAAATCACTTTACATACATTCATATTACATTAAAATGTCCTTTTAGAACCATTTTTGTCTATTTCAAGGTTAAAAAAAATAGCCATATATATGGCATACACCCTTTAATCATGGTAAACCAAAGTTTGAGTAGAGGTATAGGTAGGAGGGCAGACATATAAAACTTACCTCTGTAACAAAATATCTTATTAAAGATATATCTGTATCTTGTGTATCTTGACATTTCCTAATGTAGGAAACAACAGGTATTACACAACCTCCACTAAATAAATGTACCATTCTATCTAATAACTTTTTCTTTAATTCCAGCTATTTCAAAATAAAATAATAAATATATTATGTATAGTGGATATATTCTAGATTTTGTTGAAACAAGTAATAAAAATAGTGTGTAATGAAACATCTCATTTTGTAAGAAAGAGGCATAACATTTGAAATGATCAAAGTATAGTTCTCCTTTCACAAGTTAAATACCAAATACCAATTTCGAAATGATTGATTTAAAATGGTAGTTACCATTGGCATTGCACAAGATTTTGTAAAAATAGGCGAAACTCAGGAAATGTTATTAGGACATCATTGAAAATCAATTATGTTTTTCTTCTATGATTAATTTTTCATAAAATATTAGACTAAATAATGAATATTGTTGCTAGAGTGCTAACAAGAATTGTGGATGTTAGAATTATGGTCATGTGGGACTGGAATTTAAGACCACTTATAGGTACCAGGATGTACCACAGTTTGTTTTACTTATTTCATTGTCTCAGTTCATTTGTATAGTTCTGTGATAACCATTTAATAGCCAATATCAAGCATGTTTCTTATGTAGACTGATGATTTTTAACAATGGACCATGTAATTTGTTTGTAATATATTATGTAAAACGTACTCTGACTAGCACATCTAATTCTTCATAAGAACCTTCAAATAATCTTATTAATAAATCTAATGCCTTTTGATGAAGTAGAATATGGTTAGTAGCTATCTGAAATGACAAAAAAAATCAAACCAAATTCATACATTATCATAATCCAATAAATACAATAATTATATAATTATCTGTTCTCTTATAATCAGTTACATACAGTACCTGGATAGATTTCAGAATAATTTAGGTAAATATTTACATTCCAAACTTGAACCTTAGTAAAAGAGAGATATGGAGGTTGGAAATTAAAACTAAGCCATTTCAAGACAAACATGGTATATTATATTTCAATCATAAAGCACAGGGTCTTAAGCAGTTGGAAACAACTGGAAAACCCAGATGAGGCAAGTAGCCTAAACCTTGTTACATACCAGAATGGATGATCAAGCCTGCAGCACTTGAATAGATGACAGACTTTAAGATCTACAATGGCATAAAATATAAGCCACCTGAAAATTATTGTTATCAAAATAAAATTTACCTCATCTACCAAGACAAGATGTATAGGTGTATGATCTGTGTTGAGTTTAAAATAACTAGGTTCTGATACAGTATGATCTACCCACTTTAATACTCCCATAGAAACTACTGGAAACCTGAAATAATCACATGTTATTGAATAGATTGTAATAAAAATATAAACTATAAACTAATGCCTTAATAAATATATTTAATACTGCGTGAAATTATTGTTAATCAAAGGTGAAATTAATGCTATTTTGGAATTAATGTGACCCAAGTTACCCAACACATGGTATCATACTCTTTTTGAAAATGACATTTATCAGATGGAAGTGTAACTTCCTGGCCCCACCGACTTATTTGGGGAATTATTCAGTACATTATCATGTTAAGTTATTCAAATTCATTTCTTGCTTTACATACACAATAATTATGGTTTTGACAAATCTTCACAGGCACTGGAGGGTTGAGACAAAGGGTGGAAAGTTTCCACTGGAAACTGTCATTCGGACACGGCAATACTATATACCGGAAAACACCGAAAAACACCATTTTAAGTGAATACCGGAAAACACCGGAAAAACACCAAATACCGGAAAACACACTAAATACCGGAAAACACACTAAATAGGTAACCCGGAGACTGGCACCCTAAATAGGTAACCGGGAGCCTGGTCCTCTGTGTGCCTGGGTTAGGTTTAAGAATTTGGGGGAGAGGTTAAGTCTCCACATAAGCACTGACCTAGGATGATGAAAAGTGTATTTAGTGTGTTTTCTGGTATTTAGTGTTTTTCCAGTGTTTTCCGGTATTCAGTATAACATGGTGTTTTCCGGTAGTTTTCTGGTGTTTTCCGGTGTTTTCTGGTGTTTTCCTGTATATAGTATAGCCCATTTGGACACATGGTGGGTTTACATGCTATTAAGGAATGTCATCTTTGAACAGACAACATTTTTCATCATTAATCACTATCTGAAATTGTGTTCCTCAATCTGCACCTCCACACCTATTGTGGCTACTGTTTTGCACAAAACAGTGCCTCTCAGGTTTGTCAAAGTCATGACTAAAATCTCAAAACAAGATTTTAACTTAATATGTTTTCTAATTGTCATAGCCATAGGTTCCATTTTGCAAATGACATTCTTTTTTCTGTGGTTATGTCATCTGGGGTTCAATGCCAGTCATTGTAAAACAAGAATGGTCACTTATTACAGTGTCTCTTGATAATCATTTAGCATAACCAGCGGCTGCCAGACAGGATACGCCCATATTTTGCAAGAGATAGATAGAGAACAAGCTAAAAACAAACAGGATTTTTTTGTACAATCAGGGGCAATAATCCAGAAAGTTATGGTCTGAAATGCGCAAATATCAAAAGAGACTGAGATCTTTTACACAATTTGCGTACAAAGAGTAGACATTTTGTCGGGCAGATACATTTCGATTTTCCCGAAATTCGAATTCAACATTCATAATGGTGGAATGGTGATATATTTAAATGGTTTTTAAAATCCGAACTCAATCAAAATTACGGTGTAGCGGTGATATATTCGAACGTCTTTTTAAATCGGATAATAATTGTGATCTCTAGAGGGATCACAAGCTAAAAATGTGATTTTTCGTACAATCGGGGGCCATAATTCAGGAAGTTATGATCCGATATGTGCTAATATCGAAAGGAACAAATATCTTTTGGTTATAAACATATATTTCAAGTTTCATCAAAATCGGATCAAAATTGTGACCTCTAGAGGGTCCACAACTTTGATATACCAGATGTTATACACTATTTGCGAACGAGGGGCGGCCATTTTGTCCGTCAGTTTTAGTCCAATTTTCACAAACGGTGATATATTTGAACGTTTTTATAAATCGGATAATAATGGTGAAACCTAGACGGCAGTGAGGCTAAAAACGTGATTTTTCGTACAATCAGGGGCCATAATTCAGGAAGTTATGATCCGATATGTGCGAATATCAAAAGGAACCAAGATCTTTTAGTTATAAACTTACATTTCAAGTTTCATCAAAATCAGAAGAAAATTGTGACCTCTAGGGTCCACAACATTGATATACCACATTTTTACGTATTTGAGTACGAGGGGCACCATTTTGTCTGTCAGTTTGGGTCTGATTTTTACAAAATTCAAACTCATCCATGTTTAAGGTGTAACAGTGATATATTCAAACGTTTTTTTAAATCGGATAAGAATTATGACCTCTATAGGGTCCACAAGCTAAAAACGCGATTTTTCATATAATCAGGGGCCATAATTCAGGAAGTTTCGGTCTGATATGGGCGAATATCGAAAGGAACCGAGATCTTTGGGTTATAAACTTACATTTCAAGTTTCATCAAAATCAGAAGAAAATTGTCACCTCTAGAGGGTCCACAACCTTGATATACCATATTTTTACATGAGTACCAGGGGCAGCCATTTTATCTGTCAGTTTTGGTCCATTTTTACAAAATTCGAACTCAACCATCCTTCGGGGGTAAAGGTGATATATTCAAACGTTTTTTTAAATCGGATAATAATTGTGACCTCTAGAGGGACCTAAAGCTAAAAACGCAATATTTCGTACAATCAGGGGCCAAAATTTAGGAAGTTACGATCTGATATTCGCGAATATCAAACGGAACAAAGATCTTTGGGTTATAAACTGACATTTCAAATTTCATCAAAATCAGAAGAAAATTGTGATCTTTAGAGGGTCCACAACATTCATATACCATATTTTTACGCTATTTGAGTACGAGGGGCGGCCATTTTGTCTGTCAGTTTTCGTCCGATTTTTACGAAATTCAAATTCAACCACCCTTAGGGTGTAACGGTGATATATTCAACCGGTCTTTGAAATCGGATAAAAACTATAACCTCTATAGGGTTGACAAGCTAAAAACGTGATTTTCTGTACAATCAGGGGCCATAATTCAGGAAGTTACGGTCCGATATGTGCGAATATCGAAAGGAACCGAGATCTTTGGGTTATAAACTTATATTTCAAGTTTCATCAAAATCGGATAAAAATTGTGACCTCTATAGGGTCCACAAGCAAAAAATGTGATTTTTCGTACAATCAGGGGCCATAATCCATGAAGTTACAGACCGATAGGAACCAAGATCTTAGGGAGATAAACCTATATTTCAAGTTTCGTTGAAATCGAATAAAAATTGTGACCTGTAGAGTGTCCACAAACACTTGTGGACGGACGGACAGACAGGGGCGACGACAATATACGTCCACATGAAAATGTGGGCGTATAAAAACAATGGCAAGAAGGATGACATCATTGGCTTGCTTTTGAAAAGCATGTAAACCTATATAATTGATTTGCATTTCAATTCTCAAGACAAGATTAAAAATTGTTTTACTTTAAACATTGAAACAGAGTTCCCACATCTGCAATCAATTCTGATGATGCTTTATTTTCTGTACATAATGACTGTGTTTTCTCTAACGCTTGTATTGTTGGCTTTAATTCTTCTTTATTTACTGATTTACGTCCACCCTAAAACAAAACTTTAAACTAATAGAAGTGTATCAGACATATTAACAATACAAAAATATGAACAATTCAGAATCATAAAATCTACTGAATGAAAATTAAGTCATGAAAGGTTGAAGACAACGAATCAGAAATATCATTTCACTATATGAAGTGCACCAATGATTAATGAGCTAATAATGCATTGCAGTACAAGCATGTGAAGTCCTGTAGTAAGATTAGTTCTGGATTTCAGTTAATTGGGCAAGTTAGAGCCTTAAACTTTAATTTAGAATCTATGATAAGGAGTTTAGATCATACTCTCAGTTGCCAAAATATTTTCACTGAACAATTGTAAATTGACTCATTGGTGACCATCAATTCATCTGCTCAATTTTCAAAGATCTTTCAAGTCCGTTCTTTTATGGGTGATAATTGCTTGTATTGCCTTAATATAATTAATTTCTTTGTGGCATTACAAAATTTACTTTTTAACATAACGATACAGAACAACTACAAACCTTTTTCAGAATGTCTACAACACTTGCAGCATAAGCTAATAAATACATATATTTTGATTTATGATCAGGATTTACACGGGATGGTGGTCTAAATAATGTATCTATTAACAAATCTGTAAAAACAAAACAAATTAAATTCATTCAGCATATTTGTCTGAAAATCAATTAAATCTGATAAACCAGCAGTTGCCAGGCAGGATACGACCACATTTTGCAAGAGATGGATAGAGAACAAGCTAAAAACAAAAACGATTTTTTTGTACAATCAGGGGCCATAATCCAGAAAGTTATGGTCTGAAATGCACAAATATCAAAAGGGACTGAGATTTTTGGAATATAAAGATGTTTTAAGTTTCATCAAAATTGGATAAAAATTGTGACCTCTACAGGGTCCATAACCTTTGAATTACATACTTACGATCTGATATACGCGAATATCGAAAGGAACCAAGATCTTTGGGTCATAAACATGCATTTCAAGTTTCATCAAAATCAGATCAAAATTGTGACCTCTACAGTGTCCACACGTTAAAAACATGATTTTTTGTACAATCAGGGGCCATAATTCATGAAGTTTCGATCCAATATGCGCGAATATCGAAAGCAACCAAGATCTTTGGCTTATAAACATGCATTTCAAGTTTCATCAAAATCGGCACAAAATTGTGTCCTCCAGAGAGTCCACAACCTTGATATACCAGATGTTTACATTATTTGCGTAAGAGGGGCGGCCATTTTGTCTGGCAGTTTTGGTCCGATTTTCCTGAAATTCAAATTCAACCTTCATTACGGTGTAACGGTGATATAATCAAACGTTTTTTTTAAATCAGATAATAACTGTGACCTCAAGAGGGACCACCAGCTAAAAAAGGCGATTTTTCGTACAATCGGGGGCCATAATTCAGAGGAAGTTACGATCCGATATGTGCAAATATCGACAAGAACCAAGATCTTTGGGTTATATACATACTTTTCAAGTTTCATCAAAATTGGATTAAAATTGTGACCTCTACAGTGTCCACAACCTTGATATACCATATTTTTACATTATTCGCGTACAAGCGGCGGCCATTTTGTCCGGCAGTTTTGGTCCGATTTTCACAAAATTTGAACTCAACCTTCATTACGGTGTAACGGTGATATAATCAAACGTTTTTTTTACATCGGATCAAAATTGTGACCTCTGGAGGGACCACAAGCCAAAAACGTGATTGTCGCGTGTAACCAGCCTCGGATTTGTAACAGGTCACTGAGCTAATCTGGGGCTGGCCAACCGAGTCTATGCCAACCGAAAGAGTGTTCACCCAACCATTTACTTAACGTTATCACCAATGATTATTTGAACTCTACATACCGGTAGTTAAATAATAACGACTCTTAATTATGTAGCTATGAATAGTATGGTTTCCATTAAATTGAAATGGCACACGAAATCGATTGTCTTTTTTTTTCTTTTGCAACTTATTAAACCTGTAATCCACATGATCATGTGTCACGCAGGGCCTACGGGCCTGTGCTTGGAAAATGTTTGTTTCAGACACTGTTTTCTCCATAATGGATATTTCTTCAAATAATTTTTTTTTTTTACAAGTATAAAATTGTTTCTATCATTATTTGAAATTAATACTTCCTGAAGAGTCTATCAACCATAGCTGCCATCGAAAGCACCTTTTGCACGAAAGATGTGCTCCACTGTTTATTATGGTTAAATATTATAGACATAGAAAACTTACTTAAAAAGGAAGGAACTCTGATTAAATCTACTGGGGGTGGGTCAGCTTCACTGTACATTTTATATAACTGGAAATACAACAAAGAAACAATATTTTTCAGGGTATTAGTTGATAAATTGTGGCATTCAGTAACTGAATGAGAACAACACATAGACACAATTATATGGAATACAAGTTACTTAAAAGGATTTATTACTGACAACCATAGTACAAATGAAGATATATATACAAAATATGGAACAAAGACAAACATTAATATACAATCAGAGATAATCATTTGGAAACCATTAAAGGGGTGGAAAGCCATAGGTTCATTCTCACCCAGCTCAAAACTTAAATAATCATGTTAGCGTGACTAAGGTGTTAATTGGAATTTCTAAAGAAGGATTAGCTGTAGTCTGTTTCACATTGGGCACTGTTTATTTCATTAGGTTAAACCTAATAGTAAAACAAAATCACTTGATAATGTTTTATTCAACATTTATTATAGTAAAACATGTTTATTTTAACACTTTTAATGTAAATGGAAAAACATAATATAAAAAAGAAATAACTAAATAGCACTATGAAATGAGCATCAACATTAAAAATATATATTTCATATGGGCAAGTAAACATTTCATACTTTTTACTCTAAATTGACAAGATGAGATACCGCATCTACATAAAGCATGGTGGTTAGATTGATGATTGTGTAGTCTTCCAAATTTGAACGGGACATCATTCTTGGTATTTAAAGTTGCTGGACAACCTTGTGTGTGTTGCTTACATCGCCAGTAGGTGGTATCTTTGTAGCCGTTCTTTTTGGTGTATTCGAAACCAGTATGCATTAATATACGACCACCATTAGATGTTGGTAAGAACCGCACATGAACATTTACATTTGCCATTTTGACATATCAACTGAAGATGTCACTCCCTTAAATAGGTTTTAATTGAACCAAATTGATTCATTACTTTGTAAAAAATCACTCATTAAACACAGTTCACATGACACTTATTAAACACAGTTCACATGACATAATGGTGGGTAAAATGAACTATGTACAAAGAAAACATGATCATAAAGATGGTTAGATTGGGTGGTGACTATGCTAACACAGGAGGAATGCACTAAGAGACCATGATCAGTATAGAAAAGCCATTTGAGTAAATAACATAAGATTATCCGGTATTGGATCTATGAGGCATTAAAAAGATAATGATAACTGTAAAAAACGTTTGAAGAATGAATATACAAAAACACATTTAAGAATTTAAAAAAATAATTAGAAATATAGATGAAAATAAAAGCCATATGAGAAATATAAAAATATTTAGATTATACAAAAAATATTTAGGATATACGTAAAAATTTGTATAAAAGGTGTAAGAAGGTAAAATTATTTAATAAGAAGTATAAACAGAATTATATAAAAGACACGTAAAACTTCATATTGAAAACATTGTGAAATTGTAGAATATTTATGAAACATTTTAAGAACATTGTATAAAGAGCATTCATACATTGTAAGCATTAAACAAAGAAACAGCATCTATAAATATCAAAAAAGCTATCAAAGCGGAATGAACGGAATAGTGTATTACTTGATGAGACTGTCGTATGCTCTTTGGATGAATAGGCCAGGATCAAGGTTGAGTTCTGGATGGTGCCTTTTGATATTGATGGCTTCTAAGATTTTTCTTGTCTTTTTGTTGTTTTGGTTGACCGTCAGTGTTTTAGTATCTTCCCAATTTATTTTGTGACGACCATTGTTGCTGAGATGTTGGGCTATTGCAGAGGTATTGTTGGCTGCTAGGAATTGGTGCTCTTTAATACGGGCATTTAAAGGGCGTTTGGTTTCTCCTATGTGTCTGACTGCACGAACACGAAAATTGGTAGACACACCCTTTAGGTTGTTGTGGGATGGTTGGGTTTATTTTTCGCAGTAAGTCTTTCAGGGTACTGCCACTGGAAAAGATTGTGTCAATACCTGCTTGTTTCAGGATTCTTCATATGTGGTAGGATGAACTGCTGTTGAATGGTATGCTAACGCGTATGGGTGAAGGGTCTGTTCTTGCTGACTTAGTTTTAGAGTGTCGGGACGCTATGGTGGAATTAATGGTTGTATTAATTACCTGCTTGAGGTATTGGTTAAAGGTGGAGAAGACTTGTCTGAGGTGTTCAATTTTATTCTGTAGGAAATCATAGTCACAGATATTGAGGGCGTGTTTAGTGAGTGTTGTAATGATGGCTTTCTTGGTTTGGGATGGATGGTTGGATTTAAAATGGAGATACTGATCGGTGTGTATCGGTTTCCTGTAAACTGAAGTATGGAGAGAGTTGTTGATTCTTTGAACATTGACATCTAAAAATGGGAGGCTATTGTCTATTTCTAATTCTATGGTGAACTTGATTTCGTTGTGCTGTGCGTTTAGGTGGTTTAATAGGGCATGGGGGTCATCTCCATTGTTAAGCATGACGAAAGTGTCGTGAACTCGCCTATACCAGCAAAGGGGTTTGATGGGTGATGAATCGAGGGCATGTTTTTCAAAGGCTGTGAGGTCAACTTCAGCGAACAGAGGGCATGGGCAATCCTCTAGTTTGTTCATAGATGTCATCCCCCCATGTGAAGTAGGTGGCCGAAATACACCAGTGGTGAGGCTTGTGATCAGTGGGATTGGTATTTACTCAATACATTTGAGTAAACTGTTAATGGCTTCCATTCTAGGTACATTTGTGAAGAGGTCAACCACATCGTAGGAGACGAGTTTTCCTGGATTAGTGACTTTTTTGATGTTGCTGCAAAATTCCTTGGAGCCCAGAATGTAAGAATCAGCAGTTTTAGCTATTGGCGATAGTAATTTTGATAGGTTTTTAGGCAGGTTTTTGTGGATTTTAATGTTAGCTCTGACATAAGGCGGATGAGAGTGAGTTGGTTTGAGTTGGTAGAAGAGCTTGTTTTAAAATCTGATTCTGATCTTTCAGGGATTTGAGGTGTTTCAGGTGCTTTGTTTGGTAGACAAAAGTGAGGTCTTTCCTTAATCTCTTGCACGTGGTTTGGTCTTGATACTTTTTTCCGTGGAAGTCAGGCCCTCATCTTATACTCCGCTTCGACTTATATATTGTATCCCTGTAAATGCCATAGAGCAGCAGTTCCAGCTAAATTCTGGCGCTATATAAGTTTAACAAATTATATTATATTATTATATATTTTTCTTACTTACAACAGTAATATCTGCAGGATTTAAAGCTTGGCGTGATAACATAGATGATAAGGCTTGACAAGCACGAGGATATGCTGCTGCACCACTTAAAGCCATGGTGATTGGTGTAATTTCTAAACCCCTACAAAACAAAGTATGTTATATCTTCAAAGAAAATGACTATTAAACACCTGCACCCACTCGGCAAACCTCGGCAGATTCTGTTACTCTACATCTAGCCGCGACTGTATGACGGTAAGTGATACGTACCTACGCCTATACAATTGCGATGCGGCACCACTTTACTTCTTAGGAAAACTTGCCGCTTTTAAAAGGAAGTTATCAAAATAATGTCGTTCAAAGCATGTTTAGAATTTTCAGAGCCGATGTATCCCAATAAAAACTGAAGTTTTTGGTAACTTTCAACATGAATTTTCATACTGTTGCAATTTAGCGGACCACACTTTTATTTCTTATGTTTTTAGAACTGGTCAAGCTGCAAATAACATTGATTTTGATTTTTATCGCAAACCCTGCTCCAGTGGAGTTATTGCGATCTGAAGATAGGGTACATTTCAGGTATCTCCAGACACGTATCTTGTGTAGTCTCCTGACACCTACAGAAAAGGAACTTAAACCGGGTGACCATAATAATGTGATAGAACAAAGCCCCAACTATCATGAACAACCAAAACCTAGTTCGCCAGGGTAGTAGTGTGACAAAAATAGCTAAAATTTGGCCTAAAATGGCAAAAATCAGCCAAAAAACGTACTTGGCCTATATCTCGGAAATAGTTGATTGCTGTAATCGGCGATTTTGGATGGGGAGTAGGCTTGATGGGTCGACCAAACTCTGTGAATATGAACTCAATCGGCCTACACCCACCTTTGAACATCTCCATGATATTACATGGTTTTCTCGTGGAATGACTCTTAATAATATAACCCTCAAATAAATGTATTAGATTTCAATTGTACACTCACTTTTCATTAGCACATTTTTGCAGTTCTTGACATAATCTCTTTATATTAAATCCACCTTTTGGTTCTTGTGCCAAGATATGCATTAAAACTTGACTATATAAATAAGTGTGTTCTCCGTGACAGACCATTTTCTAAACAAATAATAAATGCAATATATCATAACATGTCCTTGCTTCAGTTAGAGGAATTACTGATAGCCAATTAATCAAATGATGTTTAAAATATCCCAAAATCAAAAATTTAACAGGAAATTAGATTTATTCAGCTGTTTATTTTATTTTTAAAAGATGAAATCATTTCAAGTTGACTATTCATTGAAAATTTGACTATAAATTTATGTTATTTAAACATGTTTTTAGTGGTTCTTTACCGTAAATTCTTGTAGATTTTTTTCAATGGCTTCCTCACCACCTTCTAGAAATGAAGAAATGGATGTTCTAAGAACACGAGAGAAGACCTCTATCTGATGACATGCTGTCGATACAGAGGTAATTTCCCCTTGATAACCAGCATCAGATATCAACTAGAATTAAGAATCAGAGATATGTGTATTATTTAACATTCACTTCACATGATATGTAAAATATCTATGGTAAATGTATTAGCTTTCTAATATAAATGAAACAAGGCAAACATTCTAATGTAAAACACCCATTATATATAACATATTTCTTCTGATCTATCTAATATTTTATTACTGTTGAGTCATCCAAATATTTTATTAATGTCAAGTCATCCAAAGAATTTATTACTGTCAAGTCATCTAAATATATATTTGCTATCACAATATAAATAATCAATGCTTTGTATGGTGCGCAGGCAGAGTTTTGATCTATTTAATATTTTATTTTTGTCGAGTCATCCAAATTTGTATTTTTTTTTATCGAATTTTAAATTGGAAATTACTGTATCCAAAAAAACCCAAACAATTCTTTAAATAGTGCATAGTATATAACAGTTTTGATCTGTTTAATATTTAATTTAATCCACTCATCCAAATTTATATTTGTTACCAAATTTCTAAATTGGAAATGTCTGTATCCAATAACTGAATAATGAATGCTTTGGGAGTGCATAGTGTATAAGATATTTGACAGCAACAGGATTATTTTTGTAAACAGCTGATGAAGGGCTTGGAATAAAACAACTCTTCATCCAATTCAGAAATGAAATGAAAAGGGGTTTAACGTCCTACTGTTCTGCTGCTAACCTGGGCTAATGAAGACGGGCATACGCCATACAGTGTGCTATGAGGGAAATTTTGCCCGGGCAGCGGCGCTACGGCCTACTCTGATATAGAATTCCAACTGCCAAGGGATCTTTTACGTGCACGCCAATGTGTACACGGGACCTCGGTTTTTCGTCCCATCCGAACGACTAGACAGCTGTCCTTGTCAGGCCCTCCATCCTGCATCACTGACAAGGGGAAACCATGCTGGAAAATCTGAATGAACTTTCTCAGCCAATGCAGGGATCGAACACCCGACTTCCAGGCTAGCGAGCCAGCGTCTTACCCACTTAGCCATGTGATCCCCCCATCCAATTCAGTCTTGTCAAGTTTGTTGCTTGGGGAATATTACCTTTACTTCATTTCTGTAACATTACTTGCATCTTAATACACTCAAAGCCATTAAAAATAGGTTGCCAGGCAACGAAACATACGCCCACAGCAGCTAAATCGTCCGGGCAGTCAACAAGTGTTGTCGCATATTTTTACTTTTTTCGGTAATGAAACATTTATAAAACACTAAAATCTGATTAAGAGCAACAATTCAGAAAACCATTAGAATTTGTTTGGTTTTTATATAGTTCTGCCCCATGCTAATGTTTAGTATACAAAACTTTTAATATCATGGATTTAGCTGTTCAAGTCATAAAAATTCATTGAAAATCAATATACTTGTTCGTCTCAAGACCTTAAACCCTGTGTATCAATCTGAAGTCAATCGGATGATAACTTTAGCCTCTAGAGCGTCACAAGATTTTTCAAAGTGATCAAGGGCCATAACTTTGGCAGTAATCGGAAATCGTTGAAAATCAATAGGATTCTTTGTCTCATGACCTTAAACACTGTGTATAAATCTAAAGTCAATCGGATATTAACTTTAGCCTCTAGAGCATCCACAAGATTTTATGAAGTGATCAAGGGCCATAACTCTGGCAGTAATTATTGAAAATCACTGAAAATGAATAGACTTCTTCGTCTCATGACCTTAAACACTGTGTATAAAATTAAAGTCAATCGGATATTAACTTTGGCCTCTAGAGCATCTACAAGATTTTTTTTAAGTGATCAAGGGCCATAACTCTGGCAGTAATTATCGGAAATCGCTGAAAATCAATAGGATTCTTCGTCTCATTAACTTTAGCCTCTACAGCGTCCACTGCGTATAAAACGCAATGCCCAATTCGCGAAAAATTCGTCTTATGACATTAAACACTGTGTATAAATTTAAAGTCAATCGGATATTAACTTTGGCCTCTAGAGCGTCCACAAGATTTTTTGAAGTGATCAAGGGCCATAACTTTGGCAGTAATTATCGGAAATCGCTGAAAATCAATAGGATTCTTCGTCTCATTAACTTTAGCCTCTACAGCGTCCACTGCGTATAAAACGCAATGCCCAATTCGCGAAAAATTTCTGGTAAACGTTTTCTTGTGATGGGTTTCTTTTTGTGGAGTTCTGGGTTTAAACCCAATATCAGTTCTCGGTAATGAACTTTATTCGTGCAAATGCAACACTTGTCTTTTTTCACGATTTCAAGCAGTCCCATGTCACACGTTTTGCATGTGCATTCCCTGCACTCTGGCCCTTTAAATACAGATCAAAATTTTAACATTCATCACTAGGGAAAAATGCCACGCCTTACACAAGAAAACAAGAACAGCGCTATTGGCATGCTGGATCAGGGGGCTTAACAGGTAGCCGTGGTCAGACACTTTAATGTCCACCCATTGACCAATGCTCGCTTGGTCGCCACTGGAAGAGTTACCAATCGAACCCAACCTGGAGCAAGGCCTGTAACAACCGCTGCTCAAAATCGCCACATCTGACTACAGCATCTGCGCGGCAACGTCAGATCAGCCCTCAAACACTCTTGGTTTACGCTGCCGTCGACCTTACCAAGGTCAACGCCTTTTGCATCATTATCGACTTGCCCGACAGCAATGGACCACAAATCAGGGGTATCTGCACAACACACCATGGTGAAATGTCATCTTCTCGGATGAATTCAGATTCAACCCGATGGACGTCACCATATCTACCAACGTCGACATGAATGCTTTGCTCGTAACTGCGTGCTGGAAAGGGATCGTTTCGGGGGAGGTGGCGTCATGGTTTGGGCCGTTATCAACGTCAACTTCCGGTCCAAGGCAATCTCAACGCTCAACATTATGTTGACGCCATCCTTCGTCCAGTGTTGCTTCCATTGCTGTCCGTCGACAGATGGTTTTCCAGCATGACAACGCCCGACCCCACACTGCCAGGTTGACAAGAGACTTCTGAACAATCATCATGTCCGTGTTATGGATTGGCCCGCTATGTCTCCCGACATGAACCCGATCGAACACCTTTGGGATGAACTTGGACGACGGATTCGAACTCAAGCTGTGCTACCACGAACTGTTGTAGAGTTGGCACAGGCACTCCAAAATCATTGGCAAACAATCCCATAGCGTGTAGTGAGACATCTAAGCCGGTCCATGCCAAGGCGACTTCAGGCATGTGTAAGAGCTCTGGGTGGACATACCCGATATTGACTTCAGCTGACCCCTGCTTTGTTTCATGGTTCTCTGATTTTTCTGTTCTGTGCATTGTAGTGAATTCTTTCATGAAATTATCCACAGATACTTGTTATCTCAATTTTGTCAATTGTTATGTACATTTGTTAAAAGTTCTTGCAGTAAATAAACTTTGAATTTTTCATTGCGTTTTTACTGGCTTTGAAAGTTTGAGTGTATTATTTTTTACTTGATGAATGTTATGCTGTGAATATACATCCTACCTTGATCGTAAAATTTAACATAAGACAATCTGGGTATTCTTCCGCAAGTTTATAAAATAAACTCCGCCATGTTGGATATTCTATCATCTCAGCTAACCATGATGGAATCTATTGTCAAAAAACAATAAGAAGTCTTATCAAATTTATCAACCCCTGACTTTGAATAGAAAATCATCAGAAAATGTGGTTCAATTAAACATGCATTATGTAAGTGCTGAATATGCCTATTACAGGTCTTTCTTTGGGTCTTAAATATTATATAAATTATTAATTAGGCATTTATTAACAAAACAAGACCATAATCAACTCTCGATGACATCGGATACTCAAGGTTTTAACTACATTAGAACGGTTCACCATTTAAAAATATAATTTAATATACCAGTGCCCTGGTTACCACAATGCACACATCCAATCAAAACTACAAACAGTTATAACTTGGTTCAGAATGAAGTAATTTGAATGACATTTTCAATATTTTCATTTTACATTATCTATTTTTGAGCTATTATAGCAAGAATGGTCAGCTCTTTATCTACATCTTACATAATGTATCTTTAAGACAAGATCTAAATATTGCTAATATCCAAAGTAATTATATCATGTGTTAACAGGAAATGTATCAGTTATTAACAACACAACTCCTAACAATTTCTAAATTTACACTGACAAAAGCTAGAATTTTCCCAAATTTATCACCACTATAGGTTGTTTACACATTATTGACGTTATGTGACTGAAATTCTAGAAGATTGATTTAACCTGATCTTTTGTTATATTCTACTTACCTCACCTTCACTAGTAAAGATGGAATCAGCTTTCTTTGGATCAAAGCATTTTATAACCATATCTTTTAAATGAGATTCAACTAATACCTGAACTTCTTTAATATCTACACCTGAGAATAATGAATAAAATTGTTTTGTTTTTTTGTATTGTTTATTAACTTTGATTGGACAAGTGGCAATATATTGATGGGTCTATGTTTGGATAAAGACATATTCATAAAAAATATATACATAAGTTACTCCATCTTACATATAGTTTAAGTTATGGTTTTACAAACCTGTCTGAATAAGCCATTCAGCTAAAACATTGACAGTTTGGGCTACAGCTGTATAGTTATCTGATAATAATTGTACAACCTTCTCAGGTGATCCTCCAGCTTGTAAATATCTGAAAATGGATAATCAGCCATATACATGAAATTAATAAAATGTCATAAACAATTAAATATAATTTCTCTCAAGAAGTATTGGGTCAACTGTTTGAATTTATTTTATTAATAAGTATATTTGCAACAACCAGAAAAAAATCTAATTATTGATTCAAACACCATGCCTGAAGCTGCTACATATAGATTACAGGTTACCAATTCTATTATGATTTTGAATAAAGATAGTAAAGAACTTACTTTTTTAAAACAACAAAAATATTTGGTTCCATGATATAATCTTTACTGGTTAAAGCTGTTAAACAATCTTCTTGGACATATTGTTCATCAACACCTTCCATCTCATCCATCTCTGGAGACTATAAAAGTATAATGCCATGAAGCGGTCGTTAGACTCAAATCTTTCCATGGATATAGAGATGTCAAGTTTACTATGCCAATCTAATGTGCTGTAACACTGTAACCCAGGTATCATTTAATCTTGTGTATCTAGCACTAATTTCTTTCACATTTCTTTGTGTATCTAGCACTAATTTCTTTCACATTCCTTTAATATCCAATCTTGAGTGCTAGGTACACAAGATTAAATGATACCCAAGTTTCAGTGTAACATGTTAGATTCCTTGTGTTTTCTTTGGAAGCTGACTGATCTTCTAAGACAGGAAAAATGAGTCATGAAATCAACAGAAAGGAATGTGAATGGCATTTCGATCAGACTATATGGGCTGTGATCTGTCTTTTAGTTTGGAATATCATGCGTTTAACGAAGTATGTCTGATTGGTGGAGAAACCTTATTTACAGCTTTGACTAATATTTCAAGACTTTCTGAGAAAGGCAATAGTGTGTAAGACCTGTTCTATTAATATAATACCTCTATAAAACTAAAATAAACATAATTAATTTGTACTTGTGTATATCTCACAAGTTTTTATAACTTTAAGAATATAGCTGAACTGTTTCACATAAATAGTCCTGGCTGTGGGGGAGTTCCTGTATACATTTCTCTTTTACAGCGAAACTTGGGATTTTCCTGTTCTATATGTTGAGACGCTTGGAAAAAATCTGGGTAACACTCCCAGACCAAGTACATTTTTTCTGCACAGACAATTTAATGATAATCGGCCAAAATAGCAAAATCATGTTTTCTTGAAATAATTCAAGAGTTGGCAGCAAGAGTTTTGACATCCATGTAACTAACATGTTTTGAGTATGTTTTAATACCATAAACTATCATTTTCAGCAGAAAACTACACTATTTAGCCAAATTTTTCTAAAAATCACTTACAGTTTGAAAGTAACCCAAAATCCGACCACCTCTCATACACTCAGTTTTGTAGGTAAAGCAACAAAAATTGGTCAGAAGTTTCCTTATAGAGACCTTTAATAATTCCATGCAATGGCATGCATCATATTCAAGATTGTGGGTAGCCTATTGTATAGAGACCATGGGGCGTGGGGTCAAATGTTAACAAAAGTTACCCCTACCCCCAAAAGTAGTATTAACATTAATTGGTTAAATTGGTCTAAAAGTGAATGTAAGTGTGATATGAAGTTTGTTTTGGTGTCTATCATATGGACTTTTTTACAAGCCAACAGTGAGGCTGATGTCCCCCGCCGAAATCCGCAAATAAATAGATGCCACATATTAATTAATCGCACATCTATTTTTTTCAAAAGTATCGAGCAATCAAACTGTTTATCAACTATACACTAAATTTCATCACTCTCTATCAGACAGAATCAAAGTTATATTGTCCCAAAGCATCGACCAAGGAAATTGCTTATCTCTGCTTAGCTTGAGATCGATATGTTAATCATTGAACTCAGTCAAGACGAACATCTACATCAAGTTTAAACATTCTACCTCAATTAGAAGCAGTGTGAACATTTTAGCTCAATTAGAAGGAGAGTTATTGTGTTCCGAAGTCTCGGCCAATCAAATTGCTTATCGCTCTGCTTACCCTGAGCAGAAAATGCTCATCATCGAACTTAGTCAAGGTACTGATGTAATAAAACTATACACCAAGTTTCATCACTCTCACTTAATTAGAACTAAAGTTATCGTGTCCCAAAGCATCAACCAATCAAATTGCTTATCTCTGCTTACACTAAGCAGAAAATGCTCATCTTCGAACTCCATCAAAGCATTGACCTAATATACACCCACACCAAGTTTGAACATTCTAGGTCAATTAGAAGGAGAGTTATTGTGTCCCAAAAAGTGTGACGGACAGACAGACGGACGGACAGGCAGGCGGACAGACAGACAGACGGACGAACCCATTTTAATAGTCCCCTGCTTTCTTCAAAAGGCGGGGGACAACTAAAGTTATCGTGTCCCAAAGCATCAACCAATCAAATTGCTTATCTCTGCTTACCCTAAGCGGAAAATGCTCATCTTCGAACTCCATCAAGGCATTGACCTAATCAACACATACACCAAGTTTGAACATTCTAGCTCAATTAGGAAGAGAGTTATCGTGCCCCAAAGTATCAACCAATCAAATTGCTTATCTCTGCTTACCCTAAGCGGAAAATGCTCATCTTCGAACTCCATCAAGGCATTGACCTAATAAACACATACACCAAGTTTGAACATTCTAGCTCAATTAAAAGTTATCGTGTCCCAAAGCATCAACCAATCAAATTGCTTATCTCTGCTTACCCTAAGCGGAAAATGCTCATCTTCGAACTCCATCAAGGCATTGACCTAATAAACACATACACCAAGTTTGAACATTCTAGCTCAATTAGGAAGAGAGTTATTGTGTCCCAAAAAGTGTGACGGACAGACAGACGGACAGACAGACAGACAGACGGACAGACAGACGAACCCATTTTAATAGTCCCCTGCTTTCTTCGAAAGGCGGGGGACAAAAATTTATAGCAAGTTATTCAGTGGAACCATATGGACTAGTAAATTACCATTACCGGTATTATCATATATACAGTGAAAAATGTTTAAATTTCCCCTGAAATTAAGGAATTAATTCGAATAATTCATAATTAGTTTAAACTGGGCACAGTTAATCAATTTCATTGCCATTAGTAGGTGACTCATGCAGTGAAAATGTTTCCTACAGAAAGTAGGACGCAACACGACGAATGTGCACGCTTCAGTGGCTTGTCTCGAAGTGATTTCTGGCTAACCACGCAGTATGATAATACTCAGTGCTTGAGTCTATGAGACTATAAATAGCCATCGCACATGCAATTCTCTACACATCTATCAACTATTACACTAAAAAATATATTGTTGACGATTCTGAATAGCAGTAATATTTAGCTTTTTGGTTATTACAGCAGCTTCAGAAATTAAGTTTGTTTCATTTTTTAAATTGCTTTGTAATTAACTGTACCGTTAGGAGCAGCATCTTTTGGTTTAGTACAAATAATATCTCTGAAACACTCGGGTTAGGCAAGAACATGATACTAGCAGTATTTCCATTTTACTTTTACAGGGTTCTTAAAACAATTGTTCAGTTGTCTAACGTGCGTGTTTCTAATTCAATTTCTTGTTCCAGATTTCTGTTATGTTTCGTAAAAAAGTAGTCTTGATTATCCCGACCTGTAAATCAGACGTAGAATGGTTGGTTGACTGGTTAAGCGAGACTAGTTTCAAAACAAGTGCACGTAACCTATTTTTTACTCACAAGTGCCCGGATGTTATGGCTGACACTCATAACAATCATTCAGCATATTATCTATGGATGGTTAAAAAAAATGGTCATATAGCTTATATAACATGACCGTTTATTTAGTGAGTGACTATAAATGTGTGAAACTGATTTAAGGCTTGGTATATATGTAAATATTGTGGTGTAATTGTCGAGATATGGTGGGTAACCCTACTGTCTGAACCTTGCTATTTTTATTATAAACTTACCTGTGTGTTTGAAATCAACTCCGGTTAAATAAAATCCATTGCACAATTAAATATCCCAACGAATAAAAAAGTTCTCTCTTGAAAAATTTGACGTGTTTACTTATATTTTCTACTAAGTCGAAGACAACATGGCTTTCGTCACGTGTTGGACGAAACCATTAAAGACGTTGTGGGGGTGTTCAGTTTTGACAGCGAGTTTGACAACCACATGTTGCCATGAAAACAAACCGCGATCGTTTCGATCGTTTGAGTTTGGGCGACGAAAAATTTAACTAAAGGCAATTACCATAGAAGATTTATATTGAAACCATTGATGGCCAGTCTACCAAATTTCATTCATAATGAAAATATCAATGATTGCACGGATACTCGTAAAAATAAAGTCGTATTTAAACTAAACCTTCCTTATCTTCTTTATACATGTATTATAAATAATTTAAGAAACAACATGAAGCTCACGACCGAAGTTTCCGAGTGCATCATTTTTTCCAGGAAACGATAACCGTTTCAGCAACATATACAAGCGTGTTGAGGCTGCCCCGAAGGTGCCAATTCTGTGGGTGTATAATGCCAAAAAACCTATAATCAAATAATTAAAACAAAATTATATTATTTTAAAAGAAAATGTATAAACTTTGCAGGGATTTTACTAAATTGTAAATAGATGGTAATAAAATAAAGAGATATGGGCCAAACCACCAAACTCAATACCAAGCCGAGGCTAATACCACGAATTGTCGTAAATGTACCGTAAAACGTTTCGATGTAGCATGCTGTCACCCCTTTATACGAAATGATATCTCCCGAAGAGTGACGTAAACGGCTTCCATTTTTGTATTGCCCTATGTCAAAAGTTTGTTTGAGTTCAATTTTTCAAGAGAGAACTTTTTTATTCGTTGGGATATTTAATTGTGCAATGGATTTTATTTAACCGGAGTTGATTTCAAACACACAGGTAGGTTTATAAACCAGAGTTGATTTCAAACACACAGGTAAGTTTATAATAACCAAAGTTAAATAGTTTGTTCATAATCGAAGAAATCCGTTTATGAAATAGCAAGGTTCAGACAGTAGGCCTACCATTAGGCTATTATTGCCATGGCATTGGCGACCAAATTGGTCACTGTCTGAGTCTGGGTTTAAAATAATATTGTTCATTCATCATATGACAACACTAGGCCAGTCAAGTCACATACCCTAACATCTTCATCCGATATTGTTTCATCACGGTCTTCATCTGAATCTGCCATTATTTATCTGTATGTTTGTGATTCCTAAGTCTCTGTCTGTAAATAAAAATTAAATTCAATCTTTTATTTATTTTCGTTTCATGGGGGCAGCCATGTTTTATTATTGGTACTTCCGTTGTAAGCCTTTTACAACCAGGTACCAATAGAAGTAGTCTCGATTTTCTAGTCCCACCTTGCATCCTTAATATATTATTCATTATCAATAAATTTATCAAATGATATATTTAATTAAGACTTGAAATCGTATATGTGTTTATTCCTGATTATATTTCTATAATTGTTTTGGACAACGCAATTTGCCCATCTAAATTCTGGTTCCGGTGAATGTGGAAATAACGCAAGTTTTCTTCAAAGATGATCCTGATAAAGATCTATTGTTTTCTGCTAAATTAAACTTTTTGTTTCATATCTCACACTCAAATCAAAAAAAATAAACAAGCCAACAGTGAGGCTGATGTCCCCCGCGGAAATCCCAAAATAAATTTATGACACATATTAATTAATCGCACATTTATTTTTTTCAAAAGTATCAAGCAATCAAACTGATTATCAACTATACACTAAGTTTCATCATTCTCTATCAGATAGAATCAAAGTTATCTTGTCCCAAAGCATCGACCAATGAAATTGCTAAGCAATTAGAATTAGCTTTAGCTCGAAATGTCAGGGGAGTTGGCACAATGATCCGCAGTGAATATTTGCTTGGCCGCGACAATATTATACGAGGCTCGTAATTCTCTGTACGAGACTCGTAATTCTCTGTGAAACAGATTGGGGGGGGGTTGGATGGCTGAATGGTTAGCGTGCGCGCGCTGTATCATAAAGTCTGTCATTGAGTCGACTGGCGTGGTTTCGAATCCCCGGTTGTACGTGACAAGGAGTAGGATCGCCTGTCCAACCTCGTGGGTTTTCTCCGGGTCCTCCGGTTTCCCCCCACTGCTAAAGACCCCTATGCAAGCGAATTATTGAAATAAAATTAAACCATATGTTAGTCCCGAAATGACCTAGTTTGTGTCGAGTGGACGTTAAACCCCATCTCTCTCTCTCTCTCTCTCTCTCTCTTTCTTTCCGGTGGTACTTTTTACCGCCGACTACCGCCGACCAAATGCTTTTTACCGCCGACCGTCGTGTAATTACCGCCGACCAAATACTTTTTACAGCCGACCGCATTGTAATGACTTTCGACCGTAATATAATTACCGCCGACCAAATACTTGTTACCTCCGACCAAATGCTTAATGATTCGAAATGAAATGAAACGAAATGGGGTTTAACGTCCTACTGTTCTGCTCCTAAATTGGGCTAATGAAGACGGGCATACGCGATACAGTGTGCTATGAGGGAAATTTTGCCCGGGCAGCGGCACTATCGCCTACTCTTATATCGAATTCCAACTGCCAAGGGATCTTTAACGTGCATTCCAATGTATACATGGGACCTCGGTTTTTCGTCTCATCCGAAGGACTAGACAGCTGCCCTTGTCAGGCCCTCCGTCCTGCATCACTGACAAGGGGGAACCACGCTTTAATGATTCCTTGTTACCGCCGACTATTTTACGGTTGTTTTTTTTTTATAAAAAAGAATACAACAAGAATGTTATTTTTTATTTGCGGTGTAATCACGTACAACTGTCGAAAAACATTCATATATATTTTAAAGAATATGGAAGGACAAAACTACAATTTAGATATTGAAGGGCAAATAAAAAAATATCAACATTGTTTCAGCTACTGGTTATAAATAAATAACATTTTAGGCCTATCTTCTATTAGTGCGAGGGTTAGGGTTAGGGTTGTCGACCATATTTATATATAATAAAATCTATATTTTTATCAAACTCTGTGTATTTAACCAAATCTATTTATTTGTCACTAATAATTTAATTAATTTTATATAGTCGGCGGTAACAAGGAATCATTAAGCATTTGGTCGGCGGTAACAAGTATTTGGTCGGCGGTAATTATATTACGGTCGAAAGTCATTACAATGCGGTCGGCGGTAAAAAAGTATTTGGTCGGCGGTAATTTCACGAAGGTCGGCGGTAGTCGGCGGTAAAAAGTACCACCTCTCTCTCTCTCTCTCTCTCGAAATGTCAATCATTGAACTCAGTCAAGACATTCACTTAATGAACATCTACGACAAGTTTAAACTTTCTGTCTCAAAAGCAGAGTTGTTAGTTCCAAAGTCTTGACCAATCAAATGGCTTATCACACCTCAGCCAAAGCAGAAAGTTCTCATCATCGAACTTAGTCAAGGTAATGATATCTATCTATCTTCTATATCTATACTAATATTTGTGACTGTCGTTTGTCTGTCTGTCTGTTCGGGGTTGGCGGCTACACTAGGTCTGCCCCGAGTCTGAAATTTGGGGTATAGGGGTAGCTCGGACCGGGGAGTAACATAGGCCAGGTGGCGTTAATCTACCACTTCCGGCTTCGGAGTTTTTATGACCCCCGAGCGAAGCCGGTCTGTTCGGGGTTGGCGGCTACACTAGGTCTGCCCCGAGTCTGAAATTTGGGGTATAGGGGTAGCTCGGACCGGGGAGTAACATAGGCCAGGTGGCGTTAGTCTACCACTTCCGGTTTCGGAGTTATGACCCCCGAGCGAAGCCTGTCTGTTCGGGGTTGGCAGCTACACTAGGTCTGCCCCGAGTCTGAAATTTGGGGTATAGGGGTAGCTCGGACCTGGGAGTAACATAGGTCAGGTGGCGTTAGTCTACCACTTCCGGTTTCGGAGTTATGACCCCCGAGCGAAGCCGGTCTGTTCGGGGTTGGCGGCTACACTAGGTCTTCCCCGAGTCTGAAATTTGGGGTATAGGGGTAGCTCGGACCGGGGAGTAACATAGGCCAGGTGGCGTTAGTCTACCACTTCCGGTTTCGGATTTATGTCCCCCGAGCGAAGTCTGTTCGGGGTTGGCGGCTACACTAGGTCTGCCCCGAGTCTGAAATTTGGGGTATAGGGGTAGCTCGGATCGGGGAGTAACATAGGCCAGGTGGCGTTAGTCTACCACTTCCGGTTTCGGAGTTATGACCCCCGAGCGAAGCCTGTCTGTTCGGGGTTGGCAGCTACACTAGGTCTGCCCCGAGTCTGAAATTTGGGGTATAGGGATATCTCGGACCGGGGGGTAACATAGGCCAGGTGGTGTTAGTCTACTACTTCCGGTTTCGGAGTTATGACCCCCGAGCGAAGCCGGGTATCCTGCTAGTATATATATATATATTTGTGACTGTCGTTTGTCTGCCTGTCTGTCTGTTCGGGGTTGGCGGCTACACTAGGTCTGCCCCGAGTCTGAAATTTGGGGTATAGGGGTAGCTCGGACCGGGGAGTAACATAGGCCAGGTGGCGTTAGTCTACCACTTCCGGTTTCGGAGTTATGACCCCCGAGCGAAGCCGGTCTGTTCGTGGTTGGCGGCTACACTAGGTCTGCCCCGAGTCTGAAATTTGGGGTATAGGTTTAACTCGGGCCGGGGAGTAACATAGGCCAGTTGGCGTTAGTCTACCACTTCCGGTTTCGGAGTTATGACCCCCGAGCGAAGCCGGGTATCTGTCTCTGTCTGTCTGTTCCGGGTTGGCGGCTACACTAGGTCTGCCCCGAGTCTGAAATTTGGGGTATAGGGGTAGCTCGGACCGGGGAGTAACATAGGCCAGGTGGCGTTAGTCTACCACTTCCGGTTTCGGAGTTATGACCTCCGAGCGAAGCCGGTCTGTTCGGGGTTGGCGGCTACACTAGGTCTGCCCCGAGTTTGAAATTTGGGGTATAGGGGTAGCTCGGACCGGGGAGTAACATAGGCCAGGTGGCGTTAGTCTAACACTTCCGGTTTCGGAGTTATGACCCCCGAGCGAAGCCGGTCTGTTCGGGGTTGGCGGCTACACTAGGTCTACCCCGAGTTTGAAATTTGGGGTATAGGGGTAGCTCGGACCGGGGAGTAACATAGGCCAGGTGGCGTTAGTCTACCACTTCCGGTTTCGGAGTTATGACCCCCGAGCGAAGTCGGTCTGTTCGGGGTTGGCCGCTACACTAGGTCTGCCCCGAGTCTGAAATTTGGGGTATAGGGGTAGCTCGGACCGGGGAGTAACATAGGCCAGGTGGCGTTAGTCTATCACTTCCGGTTTAGGAGTTATGACCCCCGAGCGAAGCCGGGTGTCCTGCTAGTAATGAATATATACTGGGAGTTTCATCACTCTTACTATATTATAACCAAAGTTATCGTGCCCCAAAGCATCAACCAATCAGATTGCTTAGCTCTGCTTACAGTAGCAGATAATGTTTCTACCCCAATTCTACCCCAATTAGAAAGATAAGTATATTGTGCTCCAAAATCTCGACCAATATCAAATTGATTGTCGCTCTGCTTACCCTGAAAGGAAAATGCTCATTATTGAACTTAGTTAAGGCATTGATGTGATAAAACTATACACCAAGTGTCCTCACTCTCACTTAATTAGAACTAAAGTTATCGTGTCCCAAAGCATCAACCAATCAAATTGCTTATCTCTGCTTACCCTAAGCAGAAAATTCTCATCTTCGAACTCCACCAAGGCATTGAACCAATAAACACCTAACCTACGCTAAGTGTGAACATTCTAGCTCAATTCGAATGAGAGTTATCGTGTTCCAAAGTCTCGACCAATCAAATTACTTATCGCTCTGCTTACCCTGAGCAGAAAATGATCATTATCAAACTTAGTCAAGGTATTAATGTAATAAAACTATACACCAAATTTCATCACTCTCACTTAATTAGAACTAAAGTTATCATGTCCCAAAGCATCAACCAATCAACTTGCTTATCTCTGCTTACTCTAAGCAGAAAATGCTTATCTACGAGCTCCAATCAAGGCATTGTTGACTTAATAAACACCTACACCAAGTTGGAACGTTCAAGCTCCATTAGATTTTAGAAGCAGGGTCAATAAATTTATCAAATGATATATTTAATTAAGACTTGAAATCGTATATGTGTTTATTCCTGATTATATTTCTATAATTGTTTTGGACAACGCAATTTGCCCATCTAAATTCTGGTTCCGGTGAATGTGGAAATAACGCAAGTTTTCTTCAAAGATGATCCTGATAAAGATCTATTGTTTTCTGCTAAATTAAACTTTTTGTT